AGAGTTTTGGTTTTGCAAGATGAAGAGTTCTGCGGATGGATGGTGGTAGTGGTAGCACGACAACGGGCATGCACTTAATCCACTGAAATGTTCACTTAAAAATGGTGAAGATGGGGCATCCAGTCGAGATGGACATACAGGGAGACACACTTCGCCTCCCTGTACAACCATAAGGAAAAACACAACTAACTTAAAAGTGAAAATCACCCAGAACTTTAAAAAAATCACCCATAAAAACACCCAGAACTGTATGGGAGTGTGACAATCAAGGATTTAAAGCAGCTATATTCATCCAGAAGGGTTAGAGGGGCAAAGATGGGGAGTTGGGGCACAGAGGGTGCACTGTGGTGGTGGTGAGCTGGGCTAGTGAGGTGGAGAGGCAGCAGTGGCCTACGGAACGGGCGGCCCCACATTCACCTGTGGCGGATAAAAATCAGGAGGACATCCTGTGAGTGAGCAATCCCAGCCCCAGGCCAGACCAGGCAGCCCAGGTTTCCAGCACCAGGAAAAGGAAGCCTGATAACTTCTGGCTATAAAGCCAGTGGGAGCTAGAGCAGCAGAAGAAATTGCCAGTTTCTCAGGAGAGCCCTGAACCTACACGAACCTATCCACCCTGGAACCACAACCAGGACAGCAGCTGGAGGGGTGCCAGTCACAGACAGAAGTGGGTAAAGTGACTGGAAAAGGAGCAAGTGCCAGGCAAGCCCCCAGAGGTCAGCCAGCAGTGACACTGTCCCCTCCTCAACCCCTCACCCACACACAGAGCCACAAAATGAGAAAGCACCTTGCTCTACCCAGGCAAATAATCAAGGCTCTGCCCCATACAACTTAACAGGTGCACGAAGACAATCAGTGTGGCTCTGCCTAGTACACAGACACAGGGAGGCTTCCAATGAGGAGACAAAGAAATATGGTCCAAATGAAGGAACAGAACAGAGTCCCAGAGAAAGAACTAAGTGATGTAGAGAAAGCCAACCTATCAGATGCAGAGTTCAAAACACTGGTGGTTAGAATGTGCAAAGATCTCATTGAATATGGCAAAAGGATAAAGGAGAAAATGAAGGCTACACTAAATGAAATAAAGAAAAATCCACAGGGAACCAACAATGAAGGGAAGGAAGCCAAGATTCAAATCAATGATTTAGAACATAAGGAAGAAATAAATATTCAGGCAGAACAAAATGAAGAAATATGAATTCAAACAAAAGAACAACAACAAAAAAAACAAGGAGAATTTAAGAACACCCTGGGACATCTTCAAAAGGGCCAACATCTGAATCATACGAGTACCACAAGAAGAGGAAAAGCAAGGAATTAAAAAATTACTTGAAAAACTAATGAAAGAGAACTTCCCTAATTTGGTGAAAAATACAGACATACAAGTCCAGAAAGCACAGAGAGTTCCAAACAAGTTGGACTTAAAGAGGTCCACACACCAAGACCCATCATAATTAAAATGCCAAAGCTTAAAGATAAAGAAAGAATCTTAAAAGCAGCAAGAGAAAGGCAGAGAGTTACCTTCAGAAGAGTTCCCATAAGACTGTCAGCTGATTTCTCAAAAGAAACTTTGCAGGCAAGAAGGGATTGACAAGAAGTATTCAAATTGATGAAAAGCAAGATCCTACAACCTAGATTACTCTATCCAGCAAAGTTATCATTCAGAATGAAAGAGCAGATAAAGTACTTCCAAGACAAGGTAAAGCTAAAGAAGTTCATCGGCACTAAGCCCTTATTATAAGAAATGTTAAAGGGTCTTATTTAAGAAAAAGGAGATCAAAACTATGAACATTAAAATGGCAACAAACTCACAACTATCAACAACTGAATATAAAAAAAAACTAAAAACTAAGCAAAAAAACTAGAAGAGGAATAGAATTATAGCTATGAAGATCATTTGGAGGATTATCAGCTGTGAGGGGGGAAGGAGGAAAATGAGGAGGAAATTATAGGGATTTAGAAGCGTAACTGGTAGGTACAAAATAGATGGGGATATTAAGAACAGTACAAGCCATGGAGAAGTCAAAAGAACTTATATATATGACCCATGGACGTGAACTAAGCAGGGAGATAGCTGGAAGGAAGGGGTTACTGGGTAGAAGGGGGCAAATGGGGGAAAATCTGAGACAACTCTAACAGAATCAATAAAATATACTTTAAAAATAATAAATCAATAAATGGTGAAGATGGTCAATTTTGTTGTATGTATTTCACCACAATTACAAATAAATAAATATATTTTAAAAATCTATACCCTCACTCACTAATCACCAATTAGATACAAGAAGTACCATTTTAATGACAGAACGCCATACATGCTCAGGGAAAAGCTTTAAAATACAAGCAATTTTCATAAAGAAAAAATATTTTAGAATTTCACTGAAAAATATAAATGTGACCTTGAGGTAGATTGTGTTATTGCTCCCAATTGTGCACTGACCTCCCAGTGAGAGCATGGCATTCCCCTACATGCTTGGCCTTGAACTGGGCCATGCACGTGGCTCTGGGCAATGATGTTTAGTGATGAATGCCACTGGTGAGCAGAGCCTTAAAAGCCATCACAAGACTATGACAATACTTTTTCCAGTAGAGATAGCAATGCTCAGTTAGGGGTCTTCCCTCAGTCTGGGTTCTGGAGTGAAGGAGATGCGTAGGGCAAAACTTTAGCCAGGATGCAGCAGACACATCAGGTGAGCGAGAAATAAACCTTTGGCATTGTGTGCACCACCAGGAAATCAGAGGTCATTTCTTACCACAGTATTGGCTGACAAAAGCTGACTGATGGAGAAATCTACCAACTTTCTGGAGAAGTTTCAAATATATTAAGATGCCAATCTTCATCAACTAAATCCTTAAATTTAATGCAATTGCTACCAAAACCTTAATACCAGTTATGAGACATGACAAGCTGATTCTATCACTTATTTGGAATCACGAATGTGAATACTAAGAGCACTTTTAAATTAAAGAGTAATATGAGAGATCCCACTGTCCAAATACTAAAACCTATTTAATAATGCTATAGTAATTAAAACAGCATGATATTAAAGAAAAAAACAAATCAACTGGACACAGATCTATGAGTATGTGGGAATTTCATGCATGATAAAATAGCATTTTTATTGTGCTAAATCATATATAACACAACATTTACCATGTTAGCCATTTGTACTTGCCGAGTCCAGTGGCATTGAGTATCTTCACAATGTTGTGTTCCCATCACCACTACCTATTTCCAGAAGGTTTTTCATCATCCCCAACAGACACTGTACCCACTTAAAAATAGTATAACTTCCCATGCCTTCCCCCCTCAGGCCTTGGTAACCTACGTTCTCATTTTTGCCTCTATCAATTTTCCTGAAAATAATATTTTAAACCATAAACTATTTAATACATGGTGATGGAACAATTAGAGGTACCCAAGTGGGGAAAATCAAGTTATAAACCTTACTCATAAATATGTAAAAATTAATTCAAGTCCAACTGAAGAATTAACAAAAACACATATTTTATAATCTTATGGTAGAAATGACTTCCAAAATAAAAATTGAGAAGTCTAGCAGCCGTAAAGAAAATGTCGATACATGTAACACTTAAAACCTTCTCTACTGCATTAGAAACAAAGAAATAATGAGTAATGATCAAGGAAAAAAATTCGGTAAGACAGTTAATAGATAGAGCATCAATTTCTAAAATGCATGATTCTTTACAAACAAATTAGGAAAATATAACCTAATTTTAAAAAATGAAACAAAGAAGAGGAATAGAGAATTTACAGGAAAATTATAAGGCAACACATACAAAGACGGCTTACCTTACCAAGAACCTGGAAAATGCAAACTAAAAGAGCAAGACAGCCCTCACTCACCACACTGACCAAAACGGTGGTCTGGTCTGCCTGTACCCTAGCCTGACGGGCAGTGGGAGGGAGGAAGCGGCACCCTCCTGCACTTAGATAGGAGAGCACAGTAGAATCACTTTTTAAAGATGACAACCTCACAGTATTTACCAAGTTAGAAATGCACTTGTCATTCTATTCAGTAATTGCACTTCAAGGAATCTATCATAGATTATCTTAGAAATATTTGTTCTCAGATTCAAAGATAAGGAAGAAGACATATAACATGTCTATAAATGTAAAAAGTTGGAAACAACCTAAATAAACACCCATCAATAAGAAAATAGTTATCCCTGGATGGTGTAGCTCAGTGGATTGAGCGCGGGCCTGCGAACCACATGATTGCGGTTCGATTCCCAGTCAAGGCACATGCCTGGGTTGCACTCCTGTTCCCAGCAGGGGACTCACGAGAGGCAACCATACATTGATATTTCTCTCTTTCTCTCCTTACCTTCCTCTCTAAAGATAAATAAATAAAATCTTTAAAAAACAAAATAGTTAAATTATGATAGAGCTATCTTTGGCATACAATATAGTTACTAAAAAGAATGTGTCACCCAGCTGGTGTGGCTCAGTGGACTGAGTGCCAGCCTGTGAACCAAAGGGTTGCTGATTGGGTTCCCAGTCAGAACACATGCCTGGGTTATGGGCCAGGTTCCCTGGAGGATGCAGGTGACAGCCAACCACACATTGATGTTTCTCTCCCTCTCTTTTTCCCTCCCTTCCCCTCTGTTGTCAGATCTACTTGTACCAATATGAAAAATTATGATACGCTGTCTAGTGAAAAAAGAAAGTCACAAAAGAACATTATAGTTAGTATTCCAAAAAAATGTATGTATGTATATTTTTATGTAAAAATTCTGTGTAAATATATACCTGTGTTTGTATATTTTTATAACTCACAGTAAACGATCTTAAAGAATTAACAACAAACAGTCATTAGTGCAGTAAAAGTACAATAAAAGGAAGGTTAATAGGACTTTCCCATTTTTATCTACATATTTTGGCACTGTTTTGATTGTATAAGAGATGTCTATTATTTTTATGATTGAAAAAAATGAAAGAAGTAAAAAATAGAGAGAGATAAAAAGGAAAGTGACCTCACCTGTTCTGGGCTCATGTACAGGGGAGTTCCTCGATCACGCGTCCTCTTTTCATTATATTCCTGAAATGTTACAAGTCCAAAGTCTCCAATCTTTATTTGTTTTGTATCTACTAAAAATATGTTACTTGGCTACAGAAAAAAGAAAAAAACAGTGGTTAAGTACCAATTTCCAAATCATCAGGTATCCAAATCCTATCTAGCAATGGCTAATTTTATATTTGCTGACTACAGTATAAGGCATTTTACCCTTACACAGGTAGCTCAAAACAGAAAATTTAGTATCCCAGGTCTTTTAAAGTGCCAGTTGAGGAACTCAGGACTTCTCTGTCAGCAGAGAAGGCCCAGGACAAAGCTGCATCAAAGATCTGAAGAGCTATTGAGTGGAAGGTGGATTTACTCCGCATCATCCCGGGTGGTAAATCCAGGACTAGAGGGTGCTATAGTGTCGCCTAAAAACACCAGTAGTGTGGTCCCAAAAATGGGCATTCAAGAGTTCCCTGTCCCAGGAAGTATTCAAGACAGAACTGGACGCCTTCTAGGTGGAAATGCTGCAAATATGAGTCCAGGACTGGATGGGGATTGAAGTAGAAGCCCTTAAGATCTCTTCCAATTTTCAGATTCTCAGAACGGGTCTCTTTGCACTAATACTATGGGATATCTTATGCAGAACTACTTGTGGGGGCTTCCTTGCTGTCAATTTTTCCCATGTCTGACAACTTTTTCAAAAACACCCTTCCCATCCTTGAAGGCATACCAAGTTAACCTGAAACCAGTAACTAGCACTGAAGTATTTTTTCCAAGCAATTCTTTGAGCAGATTTTAAAAAAATAAAAAGAACAGGATGAAGGGTGTTCATCTTATTTCACAAATTTGTAGAAGGCATTGACCAGAATTCTAAAGAACATGAAAATAGATAGTTACTGGGAGAATATTAATATTTGCCATGGTTTAAAAAGCTGGTCTTGCAGTACAATGTTGGGCTACACAGTCACGTACAGGCCTCATGAGCCAACACTTGTAAGAGGGCCTCGTAAAGGCACTGAGAGGAGACATCAGCCCAGGACAGCTGACAGAGGAGCTTCCAAGAAGCCAGTCTGAAAAGGTCCACACAGAAAGTAGCAGTTGGATTGGAACAGTGAACAGTAGGACTGGAAGCCAACACCAAGAATACAGATGGAAAGCTGTAGCTGTGTGTGGGGTGGAAGTGGAGAGAAAATGCACCAACGCTGATTCAAGTTACAGTGCAGGAATGTGCTGAGTTTGCACACATGTGGCTGCAAGCCCCACCAGCCTACAGCCTGACTCTGAGAAACAGGTTATATTTACGGTGCTGTGTGAACACACAAGCTGGATAGGACCGTGTAGTAAAAACATCAAGTTGCTTACTTCCTGTTCATTAAAAAGAAAATGCCACATTTTGTATAATCAATAACGGTATGATTTCACAAAATGGTGGGGTGTGGAACATTAAAAGAGGCTGCCAATCTCATACAGGCAGTACGGGAATACGGGCTGATGCTCAGGCTGAGGATGACCAAGGAAGCTGGGCCCCAGGGGACTGAACCTCCAAGGACCGACCGTAAGCCCTCACTCCAGAAACGTCTACTTCACTCCCCTAGTACCTCTTGCCTAGTTCTTAGGATTCTGTCAGGAAGTGATAAGCACTGGTAAACTTCATGTAACGGGCTTTCCTGCACAAAGACTATTCTCTGACAAAGCCACCTGCAACTGGTGGCTTTGTTGGGAAGCATCACCAAAAAAAGTGCACGCCTCTGTTTGCACCTTACCTCAGATGCAAGACAGCAGCACCTGTAACAGTGAAGCTAGAACAGCTGTAGAAGATGAAAGAAGGCTCAGTAGTATCCAAGTCTGACCTCTGAGCAACTACAGGTGTAGAGCAAACAGACACAAAGAAGATCAGTCCCTGACCCGGGCACAGGCGGTGGGGGACACAGGAGGTGTAGGAGAAGGCAGACTCCAGCCAACACGTCAGAATCGCACTAGTTCATCCTGAGGAGGGTGTGAGAGTTAATACCCACACTTCTGTATTCTCTTAAAAATTACTATATAAATAGATCATTGTGCTTAATTCTTCACTTCATTCCATACGTGATTTACTCCAAGGTGAAGGCACAGCCCTTGTATGTATCTTTTTGAGGATAGTCCTTCCGATGTTCTAACTTCAAAGAACACCTTCAGATGTTGTTAAAGAGAGATGTTGGAACCAGGTGGACTCACACACGAAGGCATCAGACACTCAGCCCCCTGGGCAGACCAGGGATGCAATATCGTTTAAGGGCCACTTACTCCTATGAAGGACCAACAAACGACTATCTGTGTGAGTGACTTTTGCTTCACTCCTCACTCCCGGGTGTTTTAGATAGGTGGAATACGCAGACAGCCAAGACTGATATAAATGAGGTGCTTCTGCCTGATCCAGAGAGATCTACAAAGGCTACATAAAGGGACTGGGACAAAGGGGACAGGCAGGAGAGCGTTCCATGCGAGAACATGCGCACGGGTGGTGACAGGACTCAGCATGGTGTGTTTGTGAGGACGGCAGGCGAATCACGGGGCACAGCGTACGGAAGAGAGACTGAAAAGCTGTTCTGTCTCTCTTCTTTTGTTTTGACGAGATGGAAAAATGGAAAAACTGCCCATCTAAACCATCTAAGATGCCAGGAAGACACAAGAAAATACAAAGGTCCGCTACATGTTGCAAGGTTTGGATTATTGCAGTTTTCCAATCGTGAGGCAGAAGTGTACAAATGCCAAAAAAAACCCCCAAAAAACCCAGACTCTGGGCTTAGTAGTCATGACTGCCCTCAAGAATAATGGCTGAGAGAACAGGAGAACCCCTGTTCCCAAAGTCACAGTCAGCAGAATCCCCTCTGCCCCTCAGACAAGCCCAAGTAGCAGCAGAGGCTGGGAAAGAGCAGCCAGCTGGTGGCGCCAGCACAGAAAGGGGCGGTCTACTAAAGCCATTAGTGTTTACAGCGGGAATGACTATCAGCCATTGAGCACCAGGAGTGAATGAGCTCCTTCCAGTGCAGCTCAGTGTCTGGGCAAGTTTGCTAGCCCTGGAGATCTTCTGAGCGGCTCTAGGAAATGGTATGTAGGGCAAGTTCTAGGTCCATTCTAACTTCAGAGGATCAGGGATATATTTCTTCATGACTGTCAAATAATTCTAAAACTGGAGAAGACAGATTTTGATATTGTTAAGTGATACTTATCAATTCCTGACAAAGCACATTTTCCACTTACCTTAAGATCTCTATGAATTAAGCCTTTTGAATGTATATAATTCACTCCTTCTACTATTTGCTCAAATAATTCCAAAGACAAGTCTTTGTCTGTGCCCTTCTCTCTTCTATCATCAATCCATTGTTCCAATGTTCCTTTATCACAGAACTCCATTTGGATGAAAAGGCACTTGGAGCTTGGTCACAGAAAAGCAGCAACAAAAATAAATTCAGTAAAAAAATCATTAAAATTGTTTTTAATTTTATTGTTCAAATATTTTTTTAAAGTATAACTTCTTAAGCACAAACATGTCTCAAAAGAGAAATCTAAATAAACAAATATAATAAACCATTCCTGTTTAAATCATAAATCCCCAGATGTCCAGAGCTTTATTTGTTTAGCTAATTTATGAAGTTTAGCCTGTCCATTCTTCAATGTTTAGAAAGGTCCCTGATCACCTTTCTAAAAGATGGGAATGGGAGCATTAATACAATGGAATTACAGAAAACCAAACCTCATCATTAAAGTAATTTAAAATGTTTTAATTCATCATCAATCTGCTGAGTGTCTATTTTGTGGAAAGCATAGAACAGGCACCTAAAGATGAGAAAATGAGTTAGACACTGTCCTTGCTGTTGTGGGGATGACAGTTTAACAGGAGAGAGGTCAAGGAGAAAACAAGCCTAAAAAAATAGCACAAGGTTAGATACTCCAAGAGAAATGTCAATACACCACTGTGAGATGTAACTGAGAGCACTGATTTTGCTAACCACATTTTTTTCTGAACTAAGTTGGTTTCATTATTAATATATATTCGTTGAATGTATATTGACTAGAAAATAGAAAGAGGTGGCTAAGCATTTGCTGAAAGCTGAAGAGGTCCCATGTGCTGATGGTCCAGCACTCCTGAAACTGATGATAAAGTTCCCAGTCCATGGGATGGAGGCTGGGTTTGTGTGGGGGGAAAATGAATGAACAGGCCCACAGTGGGCTCAAGTTTGCACTGAGTGGCTTTCAAAAAGAGATACCCGCTCTTTAGAATCTTCCAGCCCTTTGGCAGTGGCTTACCTGAGACAAAACATGAGTGATGCAAGGTGCTCCCATCAAAGTTCACGGTCCTAAAATTATTTTCAGTGCCCCCACCCCACCATAAATGGTGTCACTGCATTTGAAAGGGACCCGCTGACTGCATCCTACAAATTGGGGGCTTGAGAGAGGGAGAGAAAAGTGCTGGCAGCTGAGGACGGGACCCTCCAGTTGCAGCACTGACAACCTGTTCAAACAGCCTCCCCAAGACATCATTTACAAGACGAGACTGAACCAGATGTGCCAGTAAGCGTATCCATGAAAGAACACCATCAGGAAAGCTACGCCTGAGATGCTGAAACAGCTGAGGAGAGGAGGAAGGAAAATACTATTCATGGTCTCCTCACCTGCAGAATCGAGATATAACAAGGTCTCAAACAGTGCTTGTGGCAGTGATTATTATATGTATTAATTAGCGGTCGTACTAACGGCCCACACATAGTCAATGATGGTTTCCTCCATCCTGTTAGCGCTATGAGAATTTCTTTTTTAGTCACCTGTCTCTCTGGCTTTCCCCAGCATCATCAGGTCCATCCCAGCAACTAGAGTAGCGAACAATATTTGGATGATCAAGTGCTGCCAAAACTGTTACTTCACGCTCTACCGTTTCTTTATTTCTTAAGAGAAACAGAATATAAAGGGTCAGTATATGTCTGGGTAGTAGCAAAACACCTCCTTTATTGACCAGTCGCCGCAGTTCCCACACCCTGAGCTTTAGAATGAAAGCCAGAAGCGCTGAAAAGGAAAAGGTGAACATACAGAAAAAACACAGTTGCCTTCACTCTCAACACAAAAGAAAAAAAAAAGTGACTTAAATCATCCCAGCTTAAAACATCAGGCAATTTACAAGCCATTTGCAGTAGTCTTTGAAATGCCAATGATACACTTTTTGGTAGCTAATTCACACGTTAAGTTTTGTTTAGACTGTGTTAAAGTCACTTTGGATTTCATAAACAAACCCCATTTAGGCAGCAAGTGTAGGTAACCCTGGCAGCATAAAGAGCCTGATCTGGAATTTTCAGTGTGTGGCAAAGACACACAAGGAGAGGATCTATGCAGCGAAAGGGAGACGTCGCTGTACGTGTGGGAACTTCACAGGGATGAGCACTCGAGAGTCAAGGCAATCCTATGCTAAATAGATTAAATACAGTTGAGATTTCAAGGATGAGAAAGGATAAGCAAACATTGTACAATTTCAGTTTTTTAATCTGAAAAATTCTTTATGACATACAATTTATAAAAACAAAGAAAAAGTACTCATATACTGACAATCCCAACACAATCAGTTATTATGTGGGGATATTTTTGTTGTTTTTCTTCATGTATATTTCATATATCTGCAATTGCAGTATATAATTTACATTCTATTTTTTCACATTGTATTTATAATTTTCCCTGTTGTTTTACAATCTGCAATTTTCCTTATTGTTTTACAATCTACAGTACACGTAAACTTATTAAGGTAATATTTCAAAAGTATAAAAAGTAGAGCAAATAGTATAATAAAGCCCTACCCAGCCATCACCCAGATGAAAGAGTTGTTCATTTCATCTATACTGTTACCACTTCCTCATCTTCCCCTAGATTATTCTGCAGCTACTGCCAGCATCGTACCATTTCATGTATACATGTTTTCAGCATCTAACCCTCATTTTTCATGACTGTAAAGTAGCCATTGCTCAGGGGAAAGAACACAACATACGTAATCATTTCTTTATTGCAGGACATTTTGTTTTTTCTAATTTTTTTTACTGTTATAAATAACATTGTGATTTATATCCTCTTGTATAGTTTTTTTCTGTCATTTGGGTAATATCCATAGACTAGGTTCCCAGGCAGGAAATCCACGGGTCAGAGTGTGTAAATATTGTCATGGCTGTAGAGGAATATTTCCAAGTACACTGTACCTGTGTTCCACCAGTTTATGCAGCTACTACAAATGTCCCCTAATACTGCACCATGATCTTCATTAAGCATTTCCACTGAAAACAAATTGCTGTGAAGTAGAAGGAATGACAATATTGCATCCTTGTTGAGCAAAACAGTGAAGGAAGAAGAAGTCTGTTTTCGATGCTAACAAACTATGAAGGTGTATCAGCGGCCAAGGGATTGTCCTTGGACCAGAAGTAGGTTTGTCAGACTGGGATGAAGAGCACTTGGGACTCTTTGCCTGCTTCTCCTTTGCTTGGGTCATTGTCCTTAGCCACATCCCTTTTCCTTCTCCTTCTCTAGTTCTTGAAAGATCAGTGTGGCCAAGTAACCACTGCCAGAAAACTACAAGTGAGACTGGTGAACTGGTAATGTGATGTAAGACTTCTTTCCGATGAGTCCACCTTCCTAAAGGAGCTCTGCTATCCAGCAAGGCTGGGGTTGTGGGAGGGTACCAATAATACACAAAAGACACATGGGAAGCAGTAGGTTATGGTGGGAACACAGTGGACTGGCATTCTAGAGGATGAGTTCTAAAGCCCCACCTTGTACCCATGGTAGATACTACCCCGTACATGCACCCACTCCTCAGATTAAAAGGTACAGTCTATTTGCCCCTCCCTTGAATCTGAACTGGTCTTAGTAACTTTTTAAAAAGATTTTTAAATTTTCTTTTCAGAGAGAAGAGAAGGGAGGGAGAAAGATAGGGAAAGAAACATCAGTGTGTGGTTGCCTCTTGGGCACCCTCCACTGGGGACCTGGCCCACAACCCAGGCATGTGCCCTGACTGGGAATCAAACTGGTGACCCTTTAGTTAGCAGGCCAGTGCTCAATCCACTGAGCCACACCAGGCAGGGCTGGCCTTAGTGATTTTGTTGAACCAATACAACGTGGAACCTTCAAGACAAGATCAAAAGTAGCCTTCACTGCTCCCTCTTGGGATGACTGGCTCTGGGGACAACTTTTCTTGGAAACCAGCCACTAGGCTGTGAGAATCCCAGGCAGCCTAAAGAGGCCATGTGGAGACACTCTGCTTAACAGTCCCAGCTGATCTTCCAGCCCACACCCAGCATTAACTGCTAGCCACACGACATAGCCATCTAGGATGTCCAGCCCAGTCAAGCCTTCAGAAAACTCCTTACTGCAAATGCATGACAGACCTCAGTGAGAATGGCCCAGATGGACACAATCAGTCCACAGCACTGTGAGAGATAATAATAAGTTGTTGTTTTACTTTGTCATTATACTTTGGAAGGGTTATTATGCAATAATAGACAAGCAGAACCATCACCAGCCATTTTTACCTTTGAAAACTCAGTTCGCGTATTTGAAGCTCAGTCTCCTCATTTGTAAAATAGAAAATCTCAAAGGTTACCTTGAGCTAAATAATTCTATGCACTCAATTTTCATCAAGACAGCCTTAAAAGAATGAACAATGCTATACCCATTTTTTAATTAAAATAACCACAGTTCAGTAAGATCATTTCAGAGTAAGCCAAGTTCCTGATGGTAGAATTAACATTTTTAAGAAGGACTAGAAAAAAAGTAAATAATATACTAATGAAGAAGAAAGATACATAAGAATGAATAAAGCAATTCAACATAGCTTCTCATTCAAAAATATAATGAAACATTTCCTACTTACTTTGTATCGTATTTAACACGTTTAATAACATAAGTCTTCCCATCAATTCTGTGTTTTGCTTTGAAAACATGGCCATATCCACCTTTGCCAATCAGTGTTATTTCGGAAAAATCTTCGATAAACCTTAAAAGATAAATGTCACTGTTATTCTAAGGTTCGATGCCAGCTGGCCCTCATCCCTTCCACTTTCTCTGAGGGTCCCTGGTGAAACAGACTGTATAACAAACGGGACCCTCCCCTTCCGAATAAGAAGGGCCCACTTCACAGACACTCTGTGGACACAGAAATCACAAAGGACAGGTCCTCCCCCACCTCCTCCCAGTGTAACAGATTGCCCCTGGGAGCCACAGTCAACTACTGGCTGTACGACAGTCAGGAGAAGGAATCTTATCACAAGTATCAAACATTATACAGCTGCCACCAGGTCGCTGTCAGAGAAACGAGCAGGTGCTCTGGGCCTGTCTACGCCTGCGGGCCCCACCTTCCATCACGCGCCCTGCCGAGCCCACTTCTAAAACGCATGCCGCTATCGGCCCACTTTCCCCGTCTCTGACACCTTCACAGATTGTTGTTGAGTAGAAGGAATAATAATATTTCAATCTTCCACCAGGCTTCTGTAGGACTTTACTAACCAGACTCTCCACTTCCTCTCCTTTTCCGCTTCAATCCATGACCTGCACAGCAACTGGTGTGATAAAAATGTAGTCTGATCACGTCTCTCTACTGCCTAACCACCCACAGCCTAGCTCTGCATTCAACAACAACAACAGCAAAAGAAAGCCCTTAAGTGGCTCCAAGGGGCCTTGTGATTTGGCCCCCGCCGCCTCCCTCTCCAGCTCATTCTCTGGCACAGGGGCCGTGTCCGCCGCAGTCCAAGAACACAGCCTTCTCTCTGCTCCTTGAACACAGATCACCTGTCCCGTCTTCACCTTCCCCAGGGCTCTGCTCTTGCACAGCCCCGGAGCTTCCACCTCCCTGAGCTGCTTCTCCTTTCAGCGCCCTGACCAGTTTGTAACCACAGACTTTTTCACGTCGTGTTCACCCTCACAAAACTCCATGAAGTCAGGAGCTGTTCTCTTTATTCTTACTACAGATCCAGAGTCAATGCCCAGAACACAGCCAGCTAGGTATTAGGTACTTATGCAATATCTGATTGTTTACTGTTTTTTTAAACTTACTTTCAATGTCCCTTTGTTGCAAATAGGCCTCCTTTGTTTTAGATATTTTATTTAAACCCAAATAGATGATCTACTATAAGAAGAACCCTTTTTCAAAGTGAAATTTGGAAAATGAAAAACAGATTCAAGTGGCTCTTTTCTGACTTCTGGAGGAGCACTTTAAAAAAATGCTTTATAGGATTATTTGTTTTTAATATTAAAAGTGTCCACATAAGAGCCACACATAAGCATCACATAAATCTACATCACTTCCCTAAGACACAGTGGTCTCCGGTGGACTTGACTGTGCTAAGACAATGAAACTGTTCAGGTGGAAATATAATGCAACCTGCCTGATGTACAACAGTCTCCTATGAAACTTTTGTCAAATAAACAAACATATCTTTGAACAAACTCTTTTTTTTATTTCTCACCCTAGGATATGTTTATGTTTATTGATTTTAGAAAGAGTGGAAGAGAGAGAGAGACAAACATCAATTGGTTGCCTTCAGTGCTCGCCCCAGCCTGAGATCGAACCTACAACCTCAGTGCGTTCCCTGACCGGGGGTCAAACCCACAACCTAAACCCACAACCTCTGGGTGCACAGGACGATGCTCCAACCAACCACACGACCCAGCCAGAGTGGAGCCAATTCCGTTTTACAGTTCTCACTTACCTTTCATTCATAGTATAGTTATTTCTTCCTGTGTAAGGAGAGTCAAACTTGGCTGCTATAGGTCTAAAAATTAAGAGAAGAATGTAAAACTCAAATAAAACTGAAACGAAATATAACTTGTTTAGAGTGGACTTAGGCCATGCACTAGGCTCTTTATATTTTGAGTCAACATTTGATACATGTGATCTTTTGATTCCTTACCCAAGTTATTATATCGTTTCTACCCTACCTGTTTATCTGCAGAAGAATGCACTTACTTCTCTTACAAATGCCTCTCCAAGCCCGCTTCTAAAATAATGCCCTTAACCACTTATTTGAGCAATGTCCCCATAGGCCTTTATGTCTACAGTGTAATGTGTGCATACAAAGATTTCCCTTCATATTTAAATTTATTTGTTTGTAGATTTCAAGCTTTTTGTGATCCTTAACCAGGCTCTCTGCTTTTAAAACTCTGCTAAAATAAGGGTGTATGGGGTGTCCAATCTTTTGGCATCTCTGGGCCACACTGGAAGAAGAGTTGTCTTGGGCCACACATTAAATGCACAAACACTAACGAGAACTGATGAGCAAAAGAAAGGCTTTAAGTAAATTTATGATTTTGTGTTGGGCTGCATTCAAGGCCACCCTGGACCACATGCAGCCCGCGGACGACAGGCTGGACACCCCTGCTACAAATGCTAAAGACTTAATAAATAGGACTGACAAACTAAGTCTGAAAGAAAACTTCATTTCAAAGTGCATTCAATGCATAATGATACTTACCTTCTCCCCTTCCCCGAACTGTATCTGAGATCACTCTGTAACGAAAGAAAATGGAAAACTGTTTCAGATGAATAAGTCAATTCTATCGCCTTTTCTTGCTATCCTTCCTTTTGTACTTCTAGCTCGTTCTATGGCCATTTCTTTGTCCATAAGATTAACAGCGTCATCAACTGCTGTACTCTTATCAAGCCCCACTTCCCAGTTTACTTGGTTACATCCATGTTCCCTTCCGTTACAGTAACCAGACAGCTGTGGCAGGAAGCACCTAGAAGGCAAATCTGTAAGGCGCGTTCCGAAGAAGCACTGATGCTGCAGGTACAGAACGTGGCTTCCCTGCTGATCCTCCGGCCCACAGAGCTGAGCAGGCAGGTGTGCATCCCACCAGGCACAGTGCTAATAAAGACACGGATGGAGCCCAGAGATCTAGTTTAGAATAGTTTCCCAAGGGTTTCTGATCTGATCACCAGTTAAAAACTCTAGTGCTGATATTTCACTTTTAGCGCAAGTTAATAATTTTAATATTTAGCAAAAAAATGAGTCTTCAAGATATATCTCGAAAATTAATGTCACATAGCTATTTCTCATTCATATTCACTTGTAGCCTGGTACATGTTGTGGGTTTTTTAAACCGATTTAAATACAGTGACACAGAGTGGGGAGCATCAGACAGGACGTCCTGGGCTCCCATCACCCGCCGGCCTCCGCAGCGCGTGATGACTACACTGCAGAGTAATTCGGCCATCCTGTTCATGAGCAATATTTTTTCTAATCTCTTCTATTACACACAATGTTGCAAAGAACAGTCTTCTTTTTTTTAAAAAAATCTTTAGCTGAGCACATTTTTTTTTTACTGCTTTCAGAGAGAGAGAAAGGGGAGGAGAAAGAGAAACATCGACAAGACAGAGAAACACTGATTGGCTGCCTTCTCACAAGTGCCCCACCTGGGGATCGAACCTACTCTATAAGTATGTGCCCTGACCAGGAATTGAACCCACAACCCTTCAGTCCAAGGACGATGCTCCAACCAACTGAGCCACGCTGGCCAGGGCTGTAAAGAACATCCTTATACCTATTTTTCTGTGCACCCATACAAGTGTTTCCCTAGGAGACATCCTCAGGAAGAGAACTCCTTGGCATTGCAGTGATGCATACCCTCAACTTTACTACATGTTTCCACACTGTTCTCCCAGATGGTTGCGCTGGTTTATACTCCCACCGACAGCGTACAATAGTTATAACAGAAACATAGATGTGTCAACACTTAGTGCTGTCAGACCTAAGTTTGGCCAATCCGATGAGTTTAAAACGGTAACTGTTGTTTTGACCTGCATCTTCCTGATTACTGTGAAGGAAAGCATCTTTTCATATGCCTCTTGCCCATATGGGTCTCTCTTCTCTGAGTTGTGTGTATAGATCGTTTGCACACTTTTCTACTGAATTGCCTGTCTTTTTCTTATTGATTTGTAGTTCTTTATCAATAGAATACTTTTGCAACACTGTCACCAGAAAAATTATCTGATTTTTAAGTTTAGTGTTTGCGTTTAGTTCCGATTGTTTTAAAACAAGCAGACATATGTTAATGAAACCTTTAAATACTGTGCAGTTGGTAGAAGATAAGCCAGATCATAGGAATATGTGAAAATACAAAGATTAGTAGGGAGAGAAAGATGGGGGTGAATAGAGGGAGAATAGATGGGGTTAATAAAGAAAGGAGAGAGTTGCTGCTAAATATTATCATTTAGTGAGATAAAAATAGGAAAATTACTGAAGGTCATTTTTAAATGAGGAAGAACAAAGGGGAATAAGATTAACTAGGAAGTATATATTTTTTAAGATTTTTATTTATTTTTTGAGAGGGGGAAGGGAAAGAGAAAGAGAGGGAGAGAAACATCAACATGTGGTTGCCTCTTGAATACCCCACCCACACTGGGGACATGGCCTGCAACCCAGGCATGTGCCCTGATGGAAATTAAACCAGCAACCCTTTGGTTTGCAGGCCCATGCTCAATTCACTGAGCCACACCAGCCAGGGCTTAACTAGAAAGTTCAGAGATGAATACTATACCAGAGAAGAAGTACTGATCAAGCTGCCATTGCTATCATTTCTTTCTGATCCATTTTCTGAAAAGCCATTTTCAAAGGGTGATTCAGAACCACTAGAAGAAAAGGGAGTACCTATTAGTTTATGAATTGTCTATTTTTTGTTGATAAGTAATTCATTCTCTAACTTCTCCTTAAATGTTGAACATTTTCATTAAAATTTGCTCTTTCAGGCAGAAATTTGTATTTTTTTTGCTTTGTTTTGTTTTGTTTTGGTTCATGTTCCCAGCAAGTACTGCAGTCCTGGGTTGATGTGTGGAGTGGATGGAGCAAGCTCCTATTCCATCTCCCAGCTCCAAAAATCCATTTCATATAAGATCCCTGAGTAGAAGACATATCAGATATTAAACAGGTACGACACTTGACCTTCACCAAAAGGCTGAGAAGTGATCAAGATTTGTATTTCTTAAGTATCACAGCTGCGTGCACACGCTTACCCTGTACTTGAGGACTTGCCTTTGTAGTCACTGGGCCTAGCGGGGGTGGAGGCAAGAAGAGCCAAATCATCTTTCTGAAAGAAAGAGAACCCCTGAGTGGGATCAAGTGCAACTAAATGACTTCTCCATGGTGGCTCAGTCTCTGTGTACCAGTTACCACATTTATTTCCCCACATTTACCAAATTCATAGCCATAAACAATGATGAGACTAATACATAGGTCACTAGTGGGACCTAGAATCGAGGAATCCTTTTGCTATGTAATTGGCTGTCTTGGCATCATGTAAACAGTCAAACCTCATGTAAACAGTCAAACCTCAAAGCAAGTTCAGAGGGAATTTTTAAATATAAAAAATAAATCCAAAGACAGTACGTACCAGTGAGTAAGTTTCTGCTAGTATCTTCTCAAAAGCAATTTTAGCAGCCAATTGTTTTGCCATCTGTTTAGTAGGACCTTCAGCACTACTGTATACTTTCTGTCCAATTACGCATTTACAAGAAAATCTAGGAAAAATAATGGAGAGTATTTACCTAAATGCCAAAAAATAGTAAATATAACTTACGATTTGAGAAAAACACACGTCAATAAAGGCCTTATTATCACACTAATGTAACAGGTCGATTTGCATTTCATGTCTTTGTATAATTCAAATCTTCAATAAAATGGCCGACCAATCTGACACAGTAACCAGGATGAGCTAACATCTCAGCCTGCATTTTCCAGGCAACTTCTAACTTTCTGTTGTTTCATTCAAAGATCTGGCATAAAAGCAACACTATCACATTTTTCTCTTCCTAGTTCTGGCCTAAGAGCCATCAAAGTAAAAGTCAAAAGTAAATAGCTCCATCAGGTTCAGAGGACAGTATTCTCAAGTGATTGTTCACATTACTTGCAATCAGATTTTTTTTTCTTCTCCCTCATTTAATTGGTTGGTTGTAGCTGAGAAGTAATCTCTCCCTCATGCTCATTGTTTTGTTTTTCTCAGTTCCAATTCATTCTTTATCTCACTTTCAAGTCTGAGCTCACTGGTGACATTCTCAGTAACTGAAACCCTAGTCTGTCCCCCTCATCACATTCCTCAAATCCTGTTCTCCTCACAGTCTAGGAAGGAATACCATTCCTTCTAACATGTGATATCCATCTGCAGACTGACACCATCTAATCTAATTGGAAAGATGAACACCTAGACAGACAGCTCTCTAATCTGACGATGGTGGGAAGAGAGTCTTTTACACACACGTGTGGCAGAGCAGTCTTCACCCAGCCACTCCCACTGCAACCTCAGGGCTGGAGAGATCTCCCCATCCTGCAAGCAGGACAGCTCATACTCTCTTAACTGTCCTGCAAATGAAACCATCCAGATATACCTCAGAAACAAAAGATCACCCAGATTTCATCAATTATGACATATGGGTTATAATCCTTCAGCAATGAAGCATTTTAATATTTAATTACAAAGATATCCAACGGCTTAGAAGTCCTATAAAATGTACAGAAAGAATGTACAAAAATGATGAATATTTCTGAAAAGCTTGACATGGATATATAAACCCATTCCATTGCTTAGATACACCAAAACAGAAGGAAACTACATCTCACCTTTTGGGCCCAACGGTGCACAATTCACGTTGTTGATAACTTACAGACAGTTTTGCCTTTTGGGTAAGCCTATTAATCTGGCCTACGTAATTCCCCATGGGTAAATCATCTGAAGTATCTGTTGTCGACGATAATACAGAACTAGCTCCCTGGAAAAAAAAAAATCTTGTTTAACATGGATTATAATGAAGATTTAATTCTGTATTTTATTTTTCAAAAACAATTACTAAGTGAACCATTTGAAAGACAGCTTAGATTTTATGTATTTCCCTACTGTAGTACTTTGAATCAAAGTATAAGTATGTACTGTATTTTGCCATGTATAATACAATCCTGTGTATAACGCGCACCCACGATTTTTGTGTACATTCTACACAGAACTATTATACCCGTGTGTATTGCATATCTTTATTTTTCTCTCAAAAATTTGGGCAAAAAAGTATGCATTATACATGGCACATTACAGTACTTTTCTATACCAGAAAAATCCTGCAAGGATAAATCTTAACAATGGGAATCACCCATTTTCCTTTTATAATTTCATTGAAAAAAACGATCACTTCCTGTTTTTCCAAGCAAAATACTATATCACTTTCTACCTTGCTATACCCTTTGTAAAATGTTTTACAAACACAAGATAAATACTGAACTAAACTATACCCTTGATGACACTTAATGGGAAAGGTGAATATAGCAGCAGCATCCTTTCATTATTATCTGTGTTTTCTTTTGTTCCTAAGCTGACAAAATTGGTCTCAAGTTTTGTAACTTTGTTCATCTTGTTTAAACAATTAACTTTGGGTTTTATTGATCCTTATTATTTCTTTGTTTTCTTTTACACTCATTTCTGCCCATACTTTTGTCATTTTTCTCTCTTCTGTTCTGAGGGAAAATGAAATAGTTAAATCTTTGCTCTTTCTCTAACTTCTTAGCTTGGTTTTCTTTCTCTTTTTTTCTAAAGATTTTATGTATTTATTTTTAGACAGGGGAGAAGGGAGGGGAAAAAAAGTGGGGGTGAAACATCAATATGTGGTTGCTTCTTGTGCGCCCCCTACTGGGGACCTGGCCTGCAAGCCAGGCATGTGCCCTGACTGGGAATTGAACCTCCGACACTGGTTCACAGTGCTCAATCCACTGAGCCACACCAGCCAGGACTTGACTTAGTTTCCTAGCTCATTAACAGTTTGTAAGTTTGTGATTTTGTGTGATTTATTTTCTGAATTATGGTTAGAAGGATAACACCTTCAAGTAAGATTTTTTAGGAAAGTATCTTAAAGGCTAAAATTTTCCAAAAGTTTCAGTATCTGAGAATGATTATCTTTTGTCCCACAATGTAAATGATTTCTTGTCTCATTTCACAGCTGCTGCTTCCTGTCTCCTGGCTTTGAATGTTACTGTAGACAGCACAGTACTTTTTTTCATCTTTACATTTCACATAATTTCTTTCTTCTGCCAAGATGCTTGATGATTCCTTCACTAGAACTCTCAGTCCTTTCACAATGATGGAAGTTGCTCTTGGTGGTTTTGTACTTTCTTGTATCTGCTGTGTTGTTTTAAACTTCACCCAGGTCTGTCTGAACTTCAGAAACATGTTCTACTGATACCCCTTCAGATAGCTTTGTCTGCAGTGGTTACTCTATTCTCCTCTTCAGGGATACCAATTACACATATGTTGGTTCTCCATTACCTGCCCTCCATATCCATCCTTCTCCTCACTATCTTCTTCATGTCTTTGTCTTTTTCCACTGATTCCTTCAGGTAGGTGGAGAGACTCCTGCCAGCACCTGTCAGTTCATTTCTCATTGTCTCCTTTCCACATCTGTCCAGTTTTAAGGTATGCCACTGCTATTGGCACTCTAAACAGGTATTACCCAGCTTTTACCACTATTTCCTAGGTGTACCTCTCATTTGGGGTCCCACGGAAATGGAGTCAGGGGAAAAAGACTGAATTGAACTTGTGAATGTAAAGGAACTTGCGAATGGCTTTATTCTGTATGCCGGTATTTTCTCACAGAGAAAAATATAAACTACCCTGGTTGGTGTGGCTCTCAGTGGATTGAGTACTGTCCTGTGAATCAAAGGGTCACTGGTTCGATTTCCAGTCTAGGGCACACGCCGGGGTTGCAGGCCAGGTCCCCAGTAGGGGGTGCACGAGAGGCAACCACACACTGATGTTTCTCTCCCTCTCTTTCTCCCCACTTCCCCTCTCTAAAAATAAATAAATAAACTCTATTTATAAAGAAAAATAAATATCTATTTATTAAATAAAAATAAATAAACTCTAAGAAGAAAAAAAAGAAAAATATAAACTATATGAAGAGCCCCTTTTCAGTTGGGGAAAAGGCAATTACCTCTTTTTCTTTAAGTATTTCGACAGCTAATTTGGCTGCAGCATCTTTTGCTTCCTTCTTTGATTTACCTTCAGCTGTTGGATATTCTTTCTCATTTATTATAACTTGAAATTTAAACCTGAGTACCAAAAAAATCACAAAATATTGTTAAACTCAGGCATTATCTAGAGACAAGTATTCTAATCCCCACCACCCCTTTTGACCACCTTTGAAGTTCTGACCTATGCTCAATATAGATGAAGCAGTTCCCTCCAAACAGCATAACAGCACATCATCTTAAAGTGTGGGAAAGCTTATGTCCTCTTTTTTCTCCAGAGTCCTCTGAAGTTACAACTCTATACCAAAAGGACTGTCCCACAGAACTGTCGCAACTTTGCTCTAAATCGCTGACTTCAAGATTCTGCTAGCGTCGCCATTCCCCTAGCTTTTATTTTTATGGGTATATATTCTTTTTTAAATAGCATCTTACCTTAAGTCGTGTGGAGGTCCTGTCCTAGACAGTTCGCGATAGTTAATATTTACATTGTTCTTCTGACTGTATCTATTAAGTTCTTCTATGAAGAGACCTCGTATAGGAGTATCAGCCATGTCCTCTCCCAGTAATCTAGAATACAAGTGATGTTTGAAAAAAGTGACGCTGGCAGAATATATTTCCTCAGTTTTTCCCAATCCAGTTTGAGACACAAAATGGGGTTAGAATTTCCTTTATATGACTCATCTCAGCCATACATAAATCCAGAAAAGAACTCTCTTTAAAAATCTTTCCCTCTCATGGACTGCATAATCAAAGACAATTTCTCCAAAATGTTCTACTTTCAAAACTCAACTGGCCAAAAAACGGAAGGGGCCTGTCTCTTTAACTCTGCTCTTTGCTTCCACCGACTGTAAAGTGCAAGTTCCCCACCTGCATGAGAAGGTAAAAAAGCTTCAGAAGTAGAATCAGAATTCTTTACATTGGGAAGAAAAAGGCTGACATTATATATAAAGCAAAGTGTAGGAAATCATAATGGAAATATCCGCATATGGAAATAGAATGTCTGATGAAATCCCACAAATCATCCCTCTGAAATTTGCAGAAGTGAATGTTAGGTAAATTATGACCCCCATTTATGGGCCACATTGGACTAATTCAGTAGCAATGATTTAAATAATGAACAAAAATCTAAAGGATATAGAATCTGCATATAAGAGCCAAAATGACAAAACCCTTAGAAAAAAACATAAGGGTAAATCTTCCTAACCTTGTACTTGGCAGTCGAGTCTTTGCCATGACAACAAAAATGCAAGCAACAAAAGAGAGCAGATAAATTAGGCTTCTTCAAAATTAAAAACTTTTGTGTTCCAAAGGACATATTGATAAAAATAAAAAGACGACCTATAGAATGGGATATTTCTAGTCATATATATGATATGGGTCTCGTATCCAGAATATATAAAGAGCTCGTAACTCAACAACAAAATGACAACCCAATTGAAAAGTACGCAAAGGAATGAAACAGTCATTCTCTAAAGAAAATATACGCATCGCCAATAAGCCTGTAAAAAGATGTTCGACATCATTAGTCATTAGAGAAATGCAAATCGAAACCCCAACTAGAGAGCAGCTCATACCCACAAGAACAATAGTAATAGTAACACAGAAAATAAGAGTGTTGATGAGGATGTAGAGAAACTGGAACCTTCCTACACTGCTGCTGGGAATGCAAAACACTGCAACTTCTATGGAAAAGAACCTGATTATTTCTTCAAATAGTCAAACTTAGAATTGCCATACAACCCAGCAACTCCACTTCTAGGCCTATACCCAAGGAACTGCAAAACAGGCTTTTCAAACAAATACTTATACACGAATGTTCATAGCGGCACTACTCACAACAGCCAGAAAGTGGAAACAAACCAGATGTCATTCAACTGATGAATCATTAACAAAATATGGTATATGCACACATGGGATCTTATTCAGCCATAAAAACAAATGAAGTGTAGAAATATGCTACAACACAGATAACCCTGAGAACATGAAAAATGAAAGAGGCTACGCACAAAATGTCACCTATTGTCCGACTCCCTCTATATGAAATGTCCAGACACAGTAAAGCGGTAGCGAGAGTAAACAGGCCTTGGTAACCTAGTGTTTCTTGCTCAAAAGCTCTTTTGATTTTTCTTCCAAGGCCAATCTTTCTTCCTAACACTTCTTAATCTTCACAGGCCCTAAATGCTTGAGTTCCAAAGACCCTATTCCCTACACTTTCTCCTCAAGGTGATTTCTTTCACGTCAGTGATTTCAGTGATCACCTCCTTGTCATTAACTCTAAAACATGCATGTCCCTTCCAAACCTCTGTCTGAATTTCAGCTGTCATTGTCCAACATCTCCACTTGAATGTCCTGAAAGAATTTTAGACTCAAAGGACCCCAAACTGCATTTATGATCTTCCCTTCAGCTGGTTTGGAGTCTCCTGTCTCAGAAAAATGACTCCACTCTTCACTTGTGTCTGACGGCCATGAATTCGGAGGCATCGTTGACCTTTCCCTACTTTCTCATCGGTAACAAATCCATCTACTTCTTCCTGATGCCGGAGCCACTGTTCTGACTCCAGCCACCACCACCTCACTCCTGACTGCTGCACGAGCCTCAGAACCAGCTCCTCGCAGCCACTGAGATCCCTTCCCCGCCCTGCAGCCACTGTGATTTTCTTTTCACTGCTCTTTTCATTGTGGTGAAATACACATAACATGAAATGTACCCTTTTCACCATTTTTAAGTCCACAGTTCACAGGTATTAAGCACATTCCCGATACTGTGCAGCCATCACTGTCGTCTATCACCGGGACTCCCCACATCCTCCCAAACGGAAAGTCTGCACGCATTAAACGGTAACTTCCCGATTCTCCATCTTCTCATGCCCTGGTAACCAATGATACTTCCTGGCTCTATGAATTTACCTCTTCTAGGTACCTCATTATGAGTGGAGTCATTTGTCTTTTTGTGACTGGTTATTTCACTTAGCATAATGTCTTCAAGGTTCATCCATGTTGTGGCAAGTGCCAGACTCTTATTCTTTTGTAAGGCTGAATAATACTCCATTATACATACTATAGTACCATGTTTTGTTGGCCCATTCATCCTGTATTATTTCAACTTTTTGGCTAGTGTGAGTAATACTGCTATGAACACTGGTGTACAAGTATCTGTTCAAGTCCCCACTTTCAGATATTTTGGGTATCTACCTAGAAGTGAAATTGCTAAATCATATGGTAATTCTATGTTTAACATTTTGAGGAATCACCAAATTGTTTTCCACAGTGGCCCCACCATATTATATTCCCACCAGCAATGCACAGGTGTTCCAATTTCTGCACATCTTCAGCAACAGTTGTCATTTTCCACTTTCTATCATAGTAGTCACATCATGATCTTTTAAAACATCAATCCAACCACGCAGTCCCCACAGCCACCAAAACTGTTGTTGTCAAGGTTACCAATGCCCCCCCCATCTCTAAAACTAGCACTTGGTTCTCGATCCTTATCCAGTTAACCTTAAAGCAGCATTTGACGTAGCTGCTCATTCTCTTCTCCCTCCTGTCCCTTTCTTAGCTTAGATTTCAAAGATACCACACTCTCTTGGTTTTCCTCCTTTTTCATAAGCTGGTCCTTCTCTGTCTCCTTTCCTCGTTCTTCCTTTCTTCTAAAGATTGTCATGTCCCAGGACCCAGTCCTTAGATCTCCTCTCGGGTTTTACATTCACTACCTTGGTCATCGCCTCTAGGCTTGTGGCTTTAATTCCACCTGTGTAACGAGGATGCTCAAAAGTGTGCCTCCAACACTGGCTGTTTCCTGATTCCAACTGCTTTTGTCCAACACGCTCCCTCCTGAAATGCTCTTGACCCTACTCCTGCTCCTGTCTTTGCCTGTTGAACAACTTCTTCCTATAGATCTCAGCTTAAGTGTCCTATCAGATGCCCTAGAAGAGGTCCCGATTTGGCACTTTGTCACAGCCCTTGTCCCCATTACTGCAATTGCTTATTTAACTGTCTCCCAAAAAAACCCACGAGCCACAACAAGGAAGGCTCCAGGCTTAGAAGAGGGGCTGAATACAATGAATGAATACATGAATGAATGAATACAAAAATAACTCCAGATCACCCTCACCTGGAAAACCTGTCACAGGCTTTTATCTCTGCTTGAAATGCAACATCGGCAACCTCCATCAACCAGGCGATTCTCACTCATGTGTGAGGATCAACACAGTCTCCTTTGACACCCAGCTCCCGTCACAGCCCTGAATGCTCTTGAACTAGTCAGTGAGCTCTCTGGAGAGCAGGTTCTATGTCTCACTCATTTTTGTTATCACCAACGCCCAGTGGCAAGTAGAAAATGTTGAACCCCTGAGATGGTGTACAGTTGAATGAGAGAATGATTCATTAAAGTTAAGTACTTCACTGTAAACCCTCTCGTCTTTTCCCTTTCATTCACCTGCTGTTTCCCAGCAACCTTTTTTCATTCATTCGGTAAATGCTTATCAAACGTCAAGCACTGTTCTGACACTGTATATGGGCACAAAGAAGACAGAACAAGTCCCTGCCTGCATCCCATGAAAGGAGAAAATGCCCGTGTGCAGAAACAAGTAACGGGAGTGGATAATGATGGCCGGATGGCCTGCAGTGCTATGATGAAATGAACCAGGGGGATGGGCTAGAGGGTGAGTTGGTAGGCAGGGGCAGAAATATGAGGGAGGAGGATTTAAACACAGCAGTCAGGAAAGACCCTTCTCAGGAGACAATAGTCAAGTCAAGTCTGAATGATGAGAAAGTCCACTCATCAAGATATGGAGGAGGAGTATCTCAGGCAGAGCAATTCCTGAGGAAGGAACCTGGACAGACTTTGGAGGGACAACAAAAAGGCCAAGGGGACTGCTGCACAGTGAACCAGGGGTAAGGGCAGGAAGGAGTGAGGGAGGTGAGCAGAGCAGGCACCGCAGCACACAGCCACTGTGGGGCGTGGTCGGGGCTGTGGATGGAGGGTTCTACCAGAGGGGTGATGTGATTTGTGTCCCCAGTGATCACTCTGACACTGTGTAGAGAACAGAGAGGGCAGGGGCTGGGCATGGAAAGGGAAGCAGGACAAGAGAAGTTGGGAAACCAAGTAGAGACTGCCACACTGGTCTGGGCGAGCAATGGGGGTGGCTGGAAGCAGGGTGCTGGAAGTGCCTACATCTGAACAAAAGCCATGCCTTCACATTACTGCTTACTGCGGCAGAGCGAGTCAGACTTTAAAAGCCACAGAGACCTGGGCTAGACACCTCTCTCAGCCTCTGAACCTCTGATTCATGACCTGGAAACACCCGATTCACAGGTTGCTAGGAGAAGTAGCAGACTCAGAAGAGTCTCCTGCACCAGTGGTCCTCCATAAATGGTTCTCCTGGTCTGCCATTCCAAACCCCAAAAAGCACCAAACACTGAGGTTTGTTTTGTTTTCATTTGTTTTGTTTTGGTAGATTTGTAGCCCCCTGTCTAGACCTAGACTGACAGGAGCTACTTAGAGTCTTTATTATACTTTGTTGCCTGTTTATCATTCAACTGCAAAAATAGGCTTTATTATAGTGTGCTGCTCCCAAATCCTGCTGAGAGTATTACAAACAGAGTTTATGCTGCATGGCCTTCTAAAATCCAAAATCTGTGAGCACCAGAACACACCTGGCCCAAGGGTTCAGAATAAGCAGATATACCAATGGTATATCTGTAGATATACCATTGTTTTCACCGACCCCAGCACCATTTAGTGTAGTCACAATCAGAAGACCATATGTGAAGTCAGAGGCAGTCACAGATCTCAGAACGACTGTAATGAAAGAGTCCGTATCAATTACTTAACCAGAAGTCCTAGCTCATGCTTTAAATCCTCAGCACTTTTAACTCTGAGTAACTGCTAATCATCAGAAGGACAAGCCAGTCTGAATTTAAGTGAAATACATGTGTACCCTTGTAAGGTGCTGAACTGACATGTTTGGAAAAAGTACTTACAAGTTTTGGGGAAAAAAGAAACAGCAGGTTTCTTTTTAACTAATTTTAACAAATGTTGCTTTAATACTGTTCCTATTTTCCTGAAAGAAATCAGGACCATAATCACTAACAACTGTTATATGCCTGTCTTACTCATACCCAGAAGTCCCTTCGGCTGTGCCCTGTTACCTGTCCACCTTACTCAAACCCAGAAGTCCCTTCAGCTGCACCTCCGTCTCCTGTCCATCTGCCACCTCCCAGGGCAGACACTGAGCTTCCCAGTGATTACATGCAACATTCATTCAAATAGTGTCTGATGCATTAAATGAACTCCAGGTCGAGTGTAATGGATCTTCAGGTTCAAATAAGCAAACTGAAGAAAAAGAGCACAGTCTGCACAAGATTCTAAGTTTCTAAGTGACAGCAGAATGTACACCTTTTAGCTTCTATCTGGCTAGGCATTTTTAGTACTAAAGAAATCACAGGCAATAGGAAATCTCATTACTTTGGAACTCAAAAGAGAAATTATAAATAACCATTGATTAAGCAACAATTTTACGAGCACCTCCTATGTACTAAGGTGCCGGGGTTACACCAGGGAGCAAAGCCCTGCTCTGGTGAACTTGCTAGCGGAGGAACACGGACAAAACCATAAACCATGTCACAGGGCGATGTGAGTACGATGTTGGAAACTGAAGCACAGTGAGGGCGACAGCGAAGGAAGGTGGGGTTCTTTTCACCTGCAGGTTGGTCAGGGAGGCTGCTCTGACAAACTGACGTTCAAGAAATGTTGGGGGAAGAGAGGGATTGGCCCGACCAGGCATCTGGGGGAAGGGCTTCCCGGGAAGAAGAAACGGTGCAAAGACCCAGAGGCGGGCGTGTGTGCGTGGCTGTGTGCCAAGAACAACAGGGTGGTCAGAGTGGAGGGCGCAGGGGCCCTGCCTGGGCGCCTAGGCGGTGCTGAGAAGAGGTAGGTGGCAGACACGGTGGGGACGGAGCTGGAGCAGCGGTGAGGCCGTGCAGCTGGGAAATAATAGTAACTGTTCAGGCAAGAGATTTTTGGCTAGGCATTATTGAGGAAATGTATGGGTCATTCAGGCCTATGTATTTCCCATCTCTCCGTAGTCATAGGGCCTGTTTTCCACTAGATCCCCAACCCCAACCCCAGCCGGGGCTTGTTGGATACTTGCTCTGATCAAAATTCTTCACCGGAAGAAAACGGCTTTCCGTTCTTAGCGCGCTGCACGGATCCGGGAAGGACCCCGAACCTCGGCCCCGGACCTGCGTCGGCGCTCCCCGTGCGGCGGGGCCAGGGGTCTGGGGCCTCTCACCAGCGTCGACCCCCGGGGCTGGGGATGCGGGCTGGGGATGCGGGCTAGGAACTGGGGCCACACGCGCCCGGGCGCTCCAGGGCTTGGGCCGCGCCCCGCGCCCTCCGAGACCCCCGCGCTCCCCTCGCGGTCCTCCCGGCTCACCTCGCGCGCCGCCGTCCCGAAGCCCAGCAGGGTCTGCGCAGCTCGCTCTCAGTTTCGTTTTCCCCTCGGACTCCGCCTTCCGCGGCGGCCGCCCGGCCCTCTCCCGCACACCTCGTCACACGCTCTTGGCCGTGGGAAACTGGCGCCTTCGCCGGGAGCCCGCGGGAAGCAGCGGGGGCGGGCCCCGCTCCACGTGCGGCCTTCCCGCCTGGGCGTGTTCCGGCCCCGGGGCCCCGGCCTCTGGAGCGGTCGGGGCCGGCGCGCGGCGAAGATCCGCAAGGGGCGAGGCGCTCACGGAGGTCTCCGAGTGCCCGGCGCGGCGTGCCAAGAGCACCCCAATAGGCTCAGGGACAGACAGCCTCATTTCCTCTTCCTCGCAGACTTTTGCGGTGGGGGTGATATTATCAGCTCCATTTACATTAGAAGAAACAGTAAATCACCTCGCCCTCAGTCTTGGGCCTTGTAAGTGGCAAAGACAGCATTCAGTCCAAGATCTGGCCCCTAAACCGAGGCACTCCTTCCCTTTTCCACACTGCTGCCACGTCACCTTCACAAGGCTGGGGCCAGGGCACAATCTAGGGCTGGGCCTGCGGGCATAATCTTCCTTCCGTTTTGCACCCAGCCACCCGTTCATCGAACAGATACTTGCCAGCCGCTCTACCCAGCACCAGCCAGTTCAGCAGTTAGAAGAGCCACCTGGCCCCCCCGCGAGACTTCATGGAGTTCACTACCAAAGCCCTTACCAGTAGTCCTCGACTTACAAAAAATCAAATCCTACTTACCTAATGGACTATGAAACACTCCCAGAGTAATACTGGCTCCTTGGCACGCGATTCAGGAGTACTGAGAGCTTACTCCACGATAATGCGGCAACATACGTGCCATTACTATGCCCATTTAACAGATGAGAAAACCGGTTTGAGGCACAGAGAAGTTCGGTAATCACAGCTGGTAAGAAGCAGGGAGCTAGAATTAAAACCAAGAATCTGTACCATCAAATCTTAACTAGGGCAAATGAAAGAAGTGGCCCCAAGCTGGATCTCAAATGTACACCACATATCGGGCGTTGGCTCTGAGTCCTTCTCCACTTCTCTTCTACACCCCACCCCCATTTTGTAGGGCATCGGGGGCTATACACACATTTTCCCTGTAGCTCTGGACACGGAGTTTGAGCATACTGGGTTCTCTTGTGAGTGTTCACCAAAGACACCAAGTTCACCTCTAAGACCCCCATTTCTTGGAGGATTTTGAGAATCAGGTGGGCAGGAAGACTTCCTTGAATAAGTCATCTTTCCCCCAAGTGGTTGTTCAAAAGGACTGAAGAGGATGTGGCATCAGGAATGCATGATGTGTGTGAGCTCATCAACACGGAATTCTCATCAAAGCTAATCTGGCTGCGGAGACCCAGTGTGCCCACAGCAGAGCCCACCCCTGATCCCTCGGTGTGGATTACCGTACTCCAGGGGAGACCAGCCCATCACTTGGGGACAGACTGGGTACATGGAGCCCTTCCATCATAGAGTGGGCAGGCATTTGTGGAGTAAACATTTATTTCAGTTATGAATTGGCCTTTTCTCCCTGCAATGCTTCTGCCAGCAATATCATTGTTGGACATTCTAAATACCTGTTCACCGTGATGGTATCCCTCATTAATGAACCCATTTTGCAGAAAAAGAAGTGAGGCAGTACACTGCCTATCATAGAGTTCAATGGCTTTATTATGAACCTCATCACCCAAAAACAGCTGGCCCTATGGGACAGTGGGCTGGAGTAGTGAAGACTCAGTTACAGCCCCAGGGAGGAGGCAACACTTGGCAAGCTGGGTACACTGCCCTGCAAGTGTAGTGTATGCTCTCAACCTAGTTGCTGGTTTTTCTCCATGGCCATAGTACAAGAGACTGGGAAACAGGAGAAGTTAAAGGGTTGTCTCCCACAGGTAGACCTTACCGAGCACTTGCAAATCAAGTGCTTCCTGCTCCTATGACAATGGGCTCTGTCTCCACTAGAGGGCATAGAATTCCTTGGAACAGGAATTTGAAACTGTACCTGGATATTGCAGGTTCATCATGCCATTAAGTGGTCAAGAAAGTAAGGGGATTACTGAACTGGCTGGGGAGACCGATTTGAATTACCAAGGGGAAATAGTGATGCAACCACACAATGGAGTCAGGCACTTCTCTGGGGTTCCCTCTAGTAATCCTGTTTTCAGTGGTAAATGTTAATGGAAGTCCGAAGCTGCCCAACACAAGCAGGACTGTGAGGGACCTTCAGGTCCTTCAGGGTTGTTGATCTGTATCGCCCTACTAGCTGGGGAGGCACCTGAGGACAAAGGGAACAAATGAATAAGGAAGTTACAAACACCAACCATGGTCTCGTGATCAGTTGCAAAATAAAGGACCACAGAAGCTATGCATGGTTTTTTTTTTTTTACTTGCTTTGCTTTTGTATGTATTAATGAATTTTTTCTTTGCTTTCCTCTTTTCTTTTATATGAAAAGGGGGTTTCCCTTTCCATATAATGAGATCTGCTCATGGTAGTTAATTTTATAAGGCAGTCTTTACATGAGAGTGTCTTAGAGTGGAATTGTGAATAAAATACAAGAGGGAGGAACATCACATTACAATGGGTATAAAGATTTAAAGGCTAGGATGGGCATGTTTTCCTTTGAAGGAGTGAATGAGTTAGGTGGGAATATAGTGTTGTCTGCTTCAAAGATTATTGGTAGAAGGAGTGGACTGTACTAGATATTGTTCGTTTTTATTTAGCTTCCATTTACCACATTTTGCCATGTATAATACACACAGCTTGCCCAAATTTTTGAGGGGAAAATAAGGATGCACATTATACATGGTTAGTACCTGAAATACCTTGTATCTGTTCTTGTGTTTTGTAATTATTTGTTATATAAAATTTCTTGTACCATAATATATTCACAAACAAATGCTAAAATCCCTTTACAATACAAAAAAACAAGTATCTAAATACTAATTAATTAATTAATTAGTTAAAAAATTAAAATGAAATATTTTTTCCTGAAGTTTGGGCCAAAAACGGGGTGTGCATCATACATAGCAAAATACAGCATTCCCTTCTGTCTCATCATCTCCTGGATTGTAACATATACAAGGTTAACAACATATATTCCAAACTTCTATGCAGTTGAAGTTATGGGTATAGTTGGAGTTCTGCCCAGGACTGGTGAGCAATGGCATGAGATTTAGAAGATGGAAGTGAGGGGGGTAAGGCCATCGTTTTTGGCACAACAAGTTGACAAGCAAGTTCCCATGCTCCGGAGTGTTTGCAAGAGCTGGACGACAGGTTCCTTGTCATTTCTCCAAGGATCTGAGCATCTGTGGTGGCAGCAGTGGAAGTGGCAGGATCCTGAACTTTGGGTAGCAGCTGCCTCGGAGGTCTCCTGATTTCCATCCTGCCATTCATTGGAACGATTATGTGTTGATTTCCTGCCAAACCTTTTTGTTAGACATGTGTACCGTGGTTTGTGGTTCCTGTCCTGAACAAGGAGAAGCCTCTCTGGAAATGGAGCCTACCCCGAGGGATTATAGTTGAGAAGTGAAGATTAAAGATCACGTCCTTATTTGAGCCCCAGATCAAGTCTTACCCGGAGTCTAGCCCCATTCCAGACTCATCAGAGCTCCCTCTCTCCTTTTCTTTGTGTTTGATTTTTCTGATAAATACATCAGAAACATGATCTGATATACTACAGACACACTTTTGGGGGAAAAACCCCTTCATTCATTAATTTATTCAATAAAAATTTATTGAGTGCCTCCAATGTGAAGCACTGTGCTGGAAATACATCATGGCCAAAAATAACACTGTGTCCTTGAGTATTAATATAGAAATTAGTTTCCTAAGGACAGAGTGTTTATAGGAAGAAAGCAACTTTGTGTTTGATGGAATGGATATGTAGATAACATAGATACATAGACAGAGCAAAAGCATCTTTGATAACTTTTGTTAATTTTCAGTGATGGTCTCATTTAATATATAACTCCCTGTGAATTCCCATTTGATTATTGACCTATAGTTAGTGCCATAGATCTATTTTTTGATTTTCACACTCACAATGACTTTAGATTAAAGGTATAACAGTACAACTAATCACATACACATAAAAGAATCTTGCATGTATCAAGTATTTTTAATTTTGTAACTAGCAAATGTAACTTCCTACATTGGGAGATTGCTGAGTAATATAGCTTATAAACAGGAAGTGCAAAACCTCCAGCTTTGTTCTTCTTTCTCAAAATCACTGGCTATTTGGCACCTTTTATAGTTCCATATGAATTTAAGGATTTTTTTTCTGTTTCTGTGAAAAATGACATTGGAATTTGGATAAGGATAGCATTGAATCTGAAGAGTGCTTTGTGTACTGTGGCTATTTTAAGAATATTAATTCTTTCAATCCATGAACGTGGGACATCTTTCCATTTCTTTGGGCCATCTTCATTTTTTTCACCAATGTCTTCAGTTTTTATTGGAGAGATCTTTCACCTCCTTTGTTAAATTATCTCTATTTTATTATTTATGATGTTATTGCAAATGGGATTGTTTTAATTTCTTTCCTATAGTTTTTTATTATTGTATATAAATGCAACTGATTTTTATATTAATTTCTATCCTGTAACTTTAATGAATTCCTCTATTATTTCTAATAGGGGTTTTTTGTGGAGTCTTTAGGATTTTCCATACATAATAGTATATTATCTGCAAACTTCTTTTCTGATTTGGACAACTTTGATTTCTTTTTTCTTTCCTAATTGCTCTGGCTAGGACTTCTAGTACTATGTTGAGTAAAAGCATAAAGAGCTGGCATCCTTGCCTTTTTCTTGATGTTAGAGGAACATCTCTTAGTTTTTGTTAAGTATGATGTTATTCATGGCCTTATCATATGTGACTTTTATTATGTTGAAATACATTCTTTCTATACCCATTTGTTTAGAGATTTATTATGAATGTTGAAATTTGTCAAATGCTTTTCAGCATCTATTGAGATTGTCATATGGGTTTCAGTTTGTTGTTGTTGTTGTTGTTGTTTTAGAAAGAGGAGAAGGGAGTGAGAAAGGGAGAGAAACACTAATGTAAGAGAGAAACATCGATTCAGTCAGTTGAATTGATGTTTCTTGTACAATTCTTCTTGTACGTGCCCCTGGCCAGGGACTGAACCACAGCTAGGCATGTGCCTTGACTGGGAATCCAACCAGCAACCTTTTGCTTTGCAGGACAATTTCCAACCAACTGAGCCACACCAGTCAGGATCTCATATGGTTTTTATCCTTCATTTTGTTAATGTGGTGTATCACACTTATTGAACCATCCTTTCATTCTTCAAATGAACTGCACTTGATCCTTTCAATGTATTTTTTAATTCTGCTTGCTAATATTTTGTTGAGGATTTTTGCATCTATTTTCATCAGGGATATTGGCCTGTAATTTTCTTTTTTTATAGTGTCCTTGTCTGGCTGTAGTATCAGAGTAGTTTGGAAGAGTTCCTTCCTCTTCTATTTTTGGAAAGATTTCAAAAAGGATTAGTATTCATTTTTAAGTGTTTGGTAGAATTCATGAATGAAGCTCTCTGACCCTGGACTTTCTGTTGTTTTTACTAGTAATTGGTCTGTTTAGATTTCCTATTTCTTCATTATTCAGTCTTGGTAGGCTGTATATTTCTAAGAATTTTTTTCATTTTTTTTCTAGGTTGTCTAATTCGTTGTATAACTGTTTATAGTAGTTCCTTATGGTGCTTAGCATTTCTTTGTTGTCAGTTCTAATGTCTCCTCTTTCATTTGTAAATTTACTTCTTTAGTTCTTTCAGTTTAGTTTGTAAATTTCTCCCTATTTACAAATAACATTGCAATAAACATTTCTTTCATGTATTCTTATGCAAATGTGGGAAAATTTCTCTAGGGTTTTGCTTAGGTGTATAATTGCTGACCATAAAGTATATAGACCTATGACTTTACCAATTTTCTTTCCAAAATGTAAGAGTATACTTTTATTCCTCCTCTCCCATCCTTTGTGCCATTTTTGTCATACATTTACTTCTACATACATTATAAGCCACAAAGGGCATTGTTATTATTTTCACTTTGAATAGGCAATGATCTTGTAAAGAAATTTTAAAATAGTTCTTTTTTTTTTTTTTTTAAACATTTTATTTATTTATTTTTAGACAGAGGGGATGGGAAGGAGAAAGAGAGGGAGAGAAACATCAACATGCGGTTGCCTCTCATGTGTCCCCCACTGGGGACCCGGCCCGCAACCCAGGCATGTGCCCCAACTGGGAATCAAACCTGTGACCCCTTGCTTCACAGACCGATGCTCAATCCACTGAGCTACACCAGCCAGGGCTAAAATAGTTCTTAAATATACCCACATATTCACCATTACTCTTTATTCCTTTGTGTAGATTAAAATTTCCATCTTGTATCATGTTCCTTTTGCCTATACCCACTTTATCTAATATTTCTTTTTTTTAAATATTTTATTTATTTATTTATTCATTTATTTTAGAGAGGGGACAGGAGGGAGAAGTGAGGGAGAGAAACATCAGTGTGTGGTTGCCTCTTGCGCACCCCCTACTGGTGGCCTGTGCCCTAGACTGGGAATCAAACCAGTGACCCTTTGGTTCGTAGGCCAGCGCTCAATTTGCTGACCCACACCAACCAAGGCTCTAATATTTCTTATAGTGCACGTATGTTAGAGTATTTCTCCTAGTTTTTTAAATATATAAAATGCCTTTATTTTTATCTACATGTTTGATAGGTTTTTAAAATCCTTTTTCTAGATAACTGGTCTTAATTCAAAAAGTGAACAAACAAGCTTTTGCTGAAAAACTTTAAATATTATCATTATTGTTAGATTTGTATTTTTATCCCTATATGTTATTTACCATCATTATTTGCTTATTTGACCAATTTATTATTTAATTATTTAAATTCAGTTATTATTAAGGAAAATAAAGTACCCAAGCTTGAAGAACTGGCCAGAATCAAGCTTGGCAATATGATTCATACTTCAACTTTGCTCCTAGGGCTGTGCCTGCTAAGCACTCTTTGAATTTTTGATCCATTTCCTGGTTCTGAGTTTCATTGAACAGATGTTTCCAATCACCAACTTCACCTACAACAAAAAAAACAGTAGACTCAGACACTTGTTAGAATAGTTTTTCTTAATTTTACCATTTTGAAGTGTAGTGCTTCACTTTGAAATGAGAAAATGGACACATGAAAAATATAGGGTGTCTTAAAAAACTAATGTAGTTCCTCTTATAAAGTTAACCATATCCACTGAGGCTTCCCCATGTGTGGTGTGGCAGGTGACATGCTTTCTTTACATCACTGAGCGGACCTTGGGCTCAGTAACCCCCCATCTGCACCTCCCTCCCCACACTCATGACCTAAACGTCTAGTGTCTTTTCAGAGCCAGTTTATTCTTCTTTAAAGTCTTTTAAATACCTTAAATGCTCCTTGAGGAGTGATTAGTTTACAACAGGTTTCGTTTAAGACTTCAGATCCTGAAAATTTTGCACAAAAGTGATTATTTTGCCTGGGATTAGAATGTGTTTTCATACTTGCTTTTAAATGTAAAGGGAGTTACTTCTTCCTTTATCATCTTTTGATGATTTGGGTGGAGGTTATAAGTTCCTTGTTGCATAACCATTAAAATGTATGCTTATAAAAGAGGGTTTAAAGATCTAAAAAATGCTTAGCTATATGAAGGAAATAAAATAAAACACAGCTGTTTACACATGTCATAAACTGTGTAAAATATCACAGAATAAAGCTGGAAGAAATACGCCAAAAAGTTCAACCCGCCTCTGGTGAGGGAAATATGGATACTTTTTAATGCTTTTTCACATGTTCCAATGCTTTCTGAATTTTCTATAAGAAATAGTAGTAAAAATCTTGTTACCACATTATATACTTTAGGATTTTTCTATTCCATACAGTATTTGATTAACAATGTGTAGAAAAGTTGCATTTTTCCCCTCCTTAAAGCCATAAGACTAAGCATTAAAATCAGGATTAACATCAATCAGGAAGCAAACCAAAGTCAGAGTTACAATCAATGTTCCATTCACAGTGGATTTTAAAAATAGGTTTGTATTTGACAAAATGTATAGAGTTAGTCAACGAAACTTAAGTTCAAATCCTGACTCCATCATTTATGAGCTTCTGAGCATGCTGGCCACATTTGTAAAATGCAGGATTCAGTATCTTTTTTTTTGCTATAAAATTTAAGCCCAGCAAGGGCCAAATACATGAATAGATGCCTAATAATTGATAGCTATTGCCTATCAATTGTGTGCTGCCTCTAAATCACATTATACTTTCATTACATATGCAATAAAATAAACCAGCAATCCCTGAGCTATGCCATTATAAATTTCCACAGGGCATTGGAATACTATAATGAAATCATCAGTGCCAGGGACAACTAGTTGCCTATCCAATATCATTTTCTTTTTCTTCCTCACTTGCAAAACCTTAATTTTTTTTTAAATTTTACTTATTTATCTTTAGAGGGGAAGGAGAGAGGGAGAGAAACATCAATGTATGGTTGCCTCTAGTGCATCCCCTGCAGGGAACTGGCCTGCAGGGAACCTGCCTGCAACCCAGGCATGTGCCCTGACTGGGAATCGAACTGCAATCCTCTGGTTCACAGGCCCGTGCTCAATCCACTGAGCTACACCAGCCAGGGCTGCAAAACCCTAATTTTAATTGGGTTATGTGCCCACCTTTAGAAAACCACATTTCCCAGCCAAGGGTGCAGTGAGAGGTGGCCAGCAGACACAAGAAGTCACAGAATAGCGAGGCTTCCAGGAATGTTCTTAAAAGGGGTCTCACTCAGCTAATACGCAGGATTCTGTCTCTTGCCTTTCCTTTTTTATTTTAATGAAACAATCCTTTAATATTAACGTAATGGGGGAGCCCTAGCTGCGCCCTTGTCATCAGAAGGTGACAAGCAGAAAGGTAAAGAAAATTATTATTTTAAAAGACACCATAGGCTGCCAGTTCTGGCTCTGAACTATGGCCAGACTTCTTGTTGAGGGAGAGAAAAGGAAAAAACCTGTCATATTTGAGGAACAGTTGTATGAATGGCCTGTTACATGCCAACTGACGGGTGGCCTAGAAACCAACGCAGCTTCACCTTTGCGGAACAGAAACGGGCCCACGGCCCCGTGCGTCTCCCGGGACTTGGCTCTCATCGCCTGGAAGGTGCTCTGAGCAGAAACCGTCTGAATCTGCTCCCCAGTGAGCGAGAACCCAAAGAACTCAGCGATGTGTTCTATCCCAGCAGCCAGATTCTGAAAACAAAATGATAAAGCATAACCTTCTTTCTACATGAATAAGCAAAGACATAAACAAAGACAGATTTCTTAGACGGAATGGATTTATTAAGCCTGTTTAATTCATCTGTTTATCTCTTTACTCAGGTTTACTTTGATATCTCTGTATAAATAGTTGAGTGGTTTCTAGAAGATATTTTTTATCAATGTTACCTTATAGTTTAATTTATAACTCTTTTAAACTATTTAGGATATAAATAATGACATTAAACATTAATTAATAGGTTATCATTTTATTTAAGATGGTAGTCATTTTTTTTAAAGCACCAGTCTAATCTATCTAGCTGAGAAAATCAATGTATTCATATATGCTCATTTGAATTCTCTTTTCTTCTGAATCCTATTTATAGCTAGTGTTTAATATCATCAAGGAAGTATGATATTTAGAATCATAACAAATAGAAGGGATTTTTAAATTTATTTTTGTCTAAATACCCTCATAAATCATGAACCTCACCCTCACCCCCATCAGTATCCCCAACAGGGCAGGTTCATTACATTTCTTAAACTATATTCTACAAAAACACTCGTATACCTCAGGACGGTTATAGATGTTTCATGAAAAAAAAAGAAAAGAAGGGTGAATAGTTGAGGTCAAATAATCTTGGAACCTTTTGGGTTAAACAAAGGTAAGACCTTTTTTCCCCTACAGGGTCTCTCAGTCTTTAATATGCAAAATGCAGTGTGAATCTCCCAAAGGAGCAGACTATCTAATACAGCAGTTCCCAAATCAATCTGAACAAGCAACTTTCTTCCAACCCCCATGAGAAAAGACTAAATAACTATGTTCTTCCCTGTTATATAAATGCATCCCATAAATGGAAGAGTTACATTACATTATACTTTCCTTGGATAAGACAGGAGAGACTTGTGTTAAAAACACAATTTGGTTAGAGGACATTTGAGCATTTGACGCTCACCCTTCCCATTAACACACTTTCTTCGTGGAGGGGGGTGGCTGTTCCAGCACTCTGGTTACCTCCTGCCTCATTAGTCACTCCTGCTTAGTCTCCTTTGCTGATTCCTCCTCGTCGCCCCCGACTCTTTTGTCAGAGGGCTCCGGGCACAGTTCTGTCTTCTTCCTTCTCTATCCACATACATACATAAGTAGGTAATCTCAGGGCTGTGAATGCTGTCTATGGCCCAGTGATTCACAAATTTCTATCTGTAGGCCAGAGCTCTTGCCTTCAAGAGTTTTATGCCCAACTGCCTCCTTCACCTCTCCATTTGGTGACTAACACACATCTCAAACATAGCAAGCCCCAAAACAAACCCCAAGTCGTCCCCACAATCCTACTTCACCCGCCATCTCCTACTCAGATGATGGCAATTCAATCTTCCCAGTAAGCTAGGCCAGTAATATTGGAGTCTATTTTGATTCCTCTTTTTCTCTCACTACTCTTATCCCCATGCAATCTAGCAGCAAATCCTACTGGGTCTTCTTTCCATATACACTCAGAATGCAACCACTTTTCACCACCTCCGTTGCTTTTTCTGGTCTGAGCCACCATCTTCCTTGGCTGGCGCCACCTCAGTTTTCCCTGCACTGTCTTGGCCCCTCTCCAGTCTGATCTCACACACCAGGATGATCCTATTAAAAACGAAGCAGCTCCTATCGCTGTTCTGCTCGAATCCTAGAAGGACTTTCCATTCCACTCAGAGCGGAGGCCAAGGAGATGTCAGTCCTCTGTCCCGCCATTCCTCATACTCCACCCAGCATGGGCGGTGATCTTACAGGTTACTCTCCCCTTGCCTCCCTCCTGTCCGTTAATCATACAGGAAGTCCCCCCTCAGGGCCTTTACTCCAGTCATTCTCTCTACCTGTTCTTGTGCCAGTTACCCGCTTGGCTCATTCTCTCACTTCCTTCAGATCGTTCCTTAAATCCAATCCCTCCCGTGACATTTTCCGTGACCATCCTATTTTATACTGGGGTTTGTCCAGCATCCTAATCCCCCACCCCCAGGCATTTCCAATTTTCCTTAATCAGCTATACCATTTTTCCTTTTCTCCTCACATATTATATACCTTTTCATTGTTATTGTGTTTATTATTTGTCATTCTGTCTTTTTTTTCCTCCGGTGAGAATGTGAGCTTCTCGGGGCAGTGAGCTTTGGTCTCTCACTGGTATATCACAAGGGCGTAGAACACTGCCGAGCAATCACTCACTAAATGGTTATGAATAAACAATTATAAACTGCATGGAAAAATCAATTCACAGAAAAATACATGTTCAATTCAATCTCAGTTAAGACCTACCTATTGTTTTTCATATTTCTAATTTGGCCCATCTATCATAAAAGGAAAATAAAGCAGCAACTCTTAGTAATAAATAGCTAAGCATTATTTATTTCTGTTAAATAATCAACCTAAGCATTTATGCATTGTTTGTTTTTTTTCCCTAGCACTATATCATATACATGAAATATTCTGTTTTTCCAGCAGAAGTAAGGCCTGCTCGAGTGTGGTTGGTAGGGTAATAATAATATGGGTGTAATCATTTATAGCTTTAACTTGAACATTTCACCTAAAATGTCACATGATATGCTTGAATGTGATATCGTTATGTTACAGACTTACATGCCTATAATTTCATAATTAAAAAGGGGCATTCTTTATGCTAGACCCTGTGTGTGTTAATACAAGCAGACATGTTAAGTGCTCTGTGTTGTAGTTCATACTAAATTGTGTTATAGAATATCAATAATCATATCTTACCTCTTTCAGGTCTTCATATAATATGAGCTTAACATTTTCATCATCAAGATGTTTGTTCCAATTAATTGCAAAATCAAAATAGCTTCCCCAAGAAACTAAAAACGCAAGAAAAAAACTTCTTAAGGAACTCTAAATAACTGAGGTTAAAATGATAGATGGTTAATGTATGCGCTAAAACATAAGCTCTCTATATATGAGTGAGCTCCAACAACAGGTTTGGAAGTTATCACAAGTCCATGCTCCACGAGAATTGGCACAAGCCAGTCCTTGTATTGTATCAGATTTGTATTGTATTGTATCAGATCTGGCACAAGCCAGTCCTTGTATTGTATCAGATCTGATACAAGCCAGTCCTTGTATCAGATTTGTATTAATTTTATCTTTGTAAATAATAACACAACTAAGCAAGCTGTACATTGGTTTGATAAAAAACTACAGACATTCATGAATATTTAGGTGAATAAAATAATTCAGAAATAGTGAATGATACATGAAAACTGACAGTAATGCCAGAAAGAAATGATGAGACAGATGTTATCTAGACCAGTATCATCCAGTGAAACTTTAATGTAAGCCACACCTGTAATTAAATTTTTTAATTTTTTCCTAACCTTAAAATGTTTTAGTAGCCACAAGAAGAAAAGCCAAAAAGAAACATGTGGAATTGAAATTAATATTTTCTTTTATTGAGCTTCCTATATAGCCAAATATTATTACTTCAGCATGGAATCAACATCAAAATTACTAATGAGTCATTACACATATTTTTGTACTTTAAATCTTAAAGCCAGTAATTATTTTGTACTTATAGAGAATCTTAATTTGAATGCTAAGTTTTTACCTGAAACACTTGATACCTTTTTGGATTTCACAAAACTTATATTTGGAAAAGTGGATTCATACATTCGAGTTGTGCCAAACTAACTTAAAAAGTTTCCAGTAAATGCATGGAGCAGTTTTTAAATCTAAATTTAAAATAATTAAAATAGAATAAAATTTTTAAAATTCACTTCTCAATTGTGTCACCTTTCAAGTGCTCAATTCCCACACAAGGCTAGTGGCTACCATACTGGACAACATGGAGCGAGACAAGGACCAGCCGCGTTGCCTACTAACCGTGTGACTTGGAGCAACTCCCCAAACCTCTTTGTGCCTTCCTTTCCTCAGCTGTAAAGGGGTCTGGTGTATGAGGTTTCAATGATGAACACATGTCAAATGCCTAATTAATACTACGTGCCAATTCAATAAATTATGGCCATTATTATTTCATTAATAATAAAAATAATTTCATAATTACTATAGTTATCATCCTTATCATGAAACCCTTGTTTTCAGCCAGGCAGTTTCTACCTGTTTTATTTGTTGTGGCAAATATAATAAGTTTGTGACCCTTTATCCAATACACTCCCTTATTTGTTGCTAAACAAACCCCTTCTGTGACTCCCTTAGAAGAACTGTGATTGGTGACGTGATGGTCTGGCCAGTGAGACACAAACAGGAACCATGGATCGAGGGGTCTGCCGGAAAGCAATTGCTGTTCTAGTGAGCATTCTTCATGATTTGAAGGTGATGGTTAGAGAGACAGTAGCCAACTTGAGAGCACAGTGTAAAAAGCAACAGTGCGAGCCCAAGGGAGTATCAGAGGTTCTGGCCTTCCTCGCTGGGCTGCTGAACCAGTTGCCTACCTTCGGACTTCTTGTTAGGTGAGAAAAAGAAAACCTGATGTGTTTAGGCCACTGTGGTCAGGATTTCTGCTCTTCTAAATGTAGTATTAATTAACATGCATATACTTTACACTTCAATCTTTAGAGCAATCCAATGAGACAGGTACAATTTTTATGCCCGTTTGGTTAACGGGGAAATAGAGAGAGAGTGTAAGTAACCACTTTAAGCCCACACAGGTGGTAAGTTATGGGTATTGTACATTTCAAAGACAGTCTGACACTAGACCTTGCGTGGCCAAACAAAACCTATGCTGTCACACCTCCAGTAGGTCAGATACTCTTACGTGTGCTTTACCAGTAAGAAAACCAAAGTTCAGCCCTGGCTGGTGTGGCTCAGTGGATCGAGTGCAGCCCTGCGAACCAAAGGGTTGCTGGTTTAATTTCCGTCAAGGCACATGTCTGGGTTGCAGGCCAGATCCCCAGTAGGGGGCACGTGAGAGGCAACCACACATTGATGTTTCTCTCCCTCTCTTTCTTTCTCTCTTCCCCCCTCTCTAGGTATAAATAAATAAAACCTTAAAAAAAGAAAAAGAGTAATGTTATTGTGTGATGCACAGACTAGTTAGTTGTACTATAAAACTTCACTGAAAAGTTATTTCTGATTCCTGCATCCATCTTGATCTCCCTTCTTTCTTTACCCTAAAGCACACTTGAATTTTCTTATTTATGTAGTCATCTGTCAAAGTAAGAAGAATTCTTTCACCAAGAGCCATACCTTGTCCTTTCATGAACTGTCTGAAGAATTCATCCCAAGAGCCATAGCTTGGAATATCAGGGACGTCATTGTGGAAATGGAAGAAAGATACTGCTGTGTCTTTAGGGTTTCGGAATATCACCAACATCTAGGGAGATAAAACTAAGTTAACTGATTCGTGACATGTTTTGAACTTTGAAAAAGTGAATGGGTGAGCGACATCCTGTGTCCTTTTGTAGGCTGCATAGTTTTTTAACATATAGAGAAAGAGTGACGGTAAGAAACTGAGGAGTAGGAGGCGATAGCTGGGCATACCCCTGGAGACAGGGGAGAAAGAAGAAGAAAAAGAACAGCGGTGTTACAGGAGGGGACCTCTGGTCATGAGTTTAGCCAGTAAAGAGGCATACATAGAAAATGTACAAAAGGAATGAGGGCAAGCTCACAGGCCCATGATCTGAAAGGTTAAACCCCTAAACGAAGTGAAAGATGCAAAATACTATTAAGGACAGTTAAGATAACGGTTAAGTTGGGTGGGAGAAGATCAAAGAATGGCAGGCCCCCTCTCTGGGCCCCGAGGTGCGCCAATGGGTGATGCAGATGCAGCAGTACCTCTGATGTCCTACCTTAAACCTAACTTCTCTGACGAGGAGTGAGTTTATTCTTCTGAGTGAAAAGTGTGAAATACACATTGTAAAGAGAAAACTGAAACCCAAGCAAACCAAAAGATTACAGGAGAATTTCTGGCCACTCCAAGTGGATTTAGCTAGGCCTTCTGTCCTGACGTGACGAATTCCATAACAAGACTGAGGAGACTGCAGAATACAGTATTGAGCACTGTTAATGGTCACCGAGGAATCTGAGATGACACCCAAGTGCTTCAGGAGACTAGAAGTTGGCAGATGTCATTTCAGGGTCAGAAAGGATGTAGGCATGGATTTGGAAAGCACAAATTTGTGAACCTGACTTCCATTTGGAGGAGGTTTTCTAGAATTGACTGAAGTGGATGATTTAGGGCCACAGAAAAGAGGAAGAAGTAACCACCAGGGGCAATATGGGTTTCTCTAAGAATAAGGCACTGCTAACACCAAGTTTTTCCTAGACATACTCATAGTTTCTAAACTAGTTTCTACTTTAATTTCATAGTTTCTATTAAATTTGTTGCTAATTATTTCTCCCACAAAGTGGAACTCATAAGCTGAAAGAAGCAATTAGGCATATAAAACTCATGTGCAAAGGATATAATTAAGGTAAGCATGCCTAGAGGTTTTTTTATGGCATTTCCACTGTCCTGATAAGGCCATTATCATTTTAATGAGTTATTCGGGTAAATATAGAAGTGTATTTACCAAATTTGTAGATGACATGAAGCCGAGAAGGAATCGGGATCTCAAAACACCTTGTCAGTCTAAAGAAATGAACTAACGCCAGCAGGGTACAACTGAATGCCGATAAGCAAGCTGAGGTCTATGTCTTTCATTTAGATCCACAACACACCCCGACCCCTGAGTCCAGATATAGCAGATATTTGCCCCTTGCAGGTGTTATTTTGGGGCTCTGACTATCGCTCATTGGTTGCCTCGGCTTGTGGCAGTTACCACAAAGCCACAGATTTGAACAGCGAGGGCCAGCTGCAGTGTGGACAAGCCCCAGCCCGGCATCAACCGCTGCCCTTGGCTGCCTTTCTTTTCTTGCCCTTGCATTCTTGCAACAGTGAAACTGTTTCACTCCAAACCCAAATGTTTTATAAATTACTTCAGCTCTGTTTCTTATGTAATAATTAGAGGCCCCAAATCACCTAGATTTGTGATTATATTTAACCACATTAAACTGGAGAGATTATATGTTAAAGTGATATTTGGGCTTTGGGAGATTCTCAATACAAAGACTTATACAGAGCTGTCCAAAGCTGGCGTGAGTGATAGAGGGGCTGGATCATGGTCCAGACAGCCACTTAGTGGAATATGAACACTTCATGGGGATTGGAGTAGCAACCTTTAAGGTATTTTCCAATTCAAAGCTCCTAGAATCCTATACCCTGGCCACAAGGCACTAATGCTAAGCCTCCACTTCCCTAGTGATTTCTTTCCTCCTCCATTATTTCCCCTCCTTTCTCTTACCATTGTAGTTATCTTAGCTGTTTTCTTCCTTCCACTTTCTTTGCTATTATTATACTATCATCTCTGTTTTATTTGTGGCATTCAAGCATTTAAATCCTGGATTCGTAAGTTGGCAGCCAAGTAGGTGGGAGCGGGGTCTTGCTCTTGCACCCAACGCGGACACTTAGCTGATCTTCCAAAAAACAAAGTGAACAGTCCATGGGATCTTAGCTGATAGGAATTTCGGAAGCCAAAGCGTACAGAGGACACTTCAAAACGGGCGTTGAGGAGGTTTTATAAATGGATGGGAAAAGTCCCGGGAGGGGCACCTGCATCTGAGGAGAGCCTGGTCAGAGACAGCAGCCTAGCGGCTCCCTCCCCTCCCGTGAGGAGGCCCCAGGCCTGGGAGGGGAGCGACTTGGATACACAAAGTGGTCAGGAAGAACCAAGCAACACACACACACACACACACACACACACACACACACACACACACACACCTAGCAGCACGCCTATAGCTGCGGCGGGAGAATACCTGAGAGTGAGCCAGACACACACACACACACACACACACACACACACACACACACACACACACACCCTAGCAGCACGCCTATAGCTGCGGCGGGAGAATACCTGAGAGTGAGCCAGATACTGTCCGCATCTGGTTCTGGTGGAGGAGGAGGAGGGCCGTGACTGGCCCTGACTTTGATAAACTCTTGGCTTTTCGGAGAGGTGGAGGGTGTTGCAAATGGGACAGAGGCTCGGCGCTGCAGCGGGAGCGCACAGAGAGACTTTTTTTTTTCAAAGGGGAACTGAGGAAACCTGGGCAGGGACCCCAGCACGCAGCTGCCAGGCCAACAAGGGAGGACTGTGGGTGTAATTTACTCCCACTCAGCTGGGCAGATTGATTAGAGGTGCGAAGTGAGATGGTGCCTCGGACCCAGCCCGGTGCAGTGCTGCAGGGTGGAGGGGGCAGGCCACAGTGTGCCGTGAGGACGGTGGGCTGGGAACTGCGCACCCGAGATTATTTGAGGACAGACCGGGCCTCCTTCCTTGGTGGAACGTCCAGGAAGGGAAGATTGAGCCCAGCCCCCACCTCCTGCGAGAGCAGGGGAAGATCTGCAAAACTGGCTCAGTAGGCCTCGCAACTCTGCAGGGGGCATTTCCAAAAGAGTAAGACAGCAAGACAAATGCCCCAAAGGGCCCATTTTGAAGGACTCGCAGGGAGACAAAAAAACACTGGGTCCTAGGGCCTATTTCGCTGTGGCCGTCACAGCAGGGAGTTCAGAAAGTGTGCAGCAAGGGGCAGCAAGGCAGATTCAGGGCACCGCCAGCCCCGGCTGGCACACAGAGCTGCCCTCTACACCAAGCAGGAGAGAGCTGACACACACAGATTGTCCCCTACCCTGTGAAAGGGACAAATGTGTAATGAGAAACTATACAGTATTGGAAATAAACTGGGAAAGACTAAGGACGGAGGTGTAGGGGCAGGGGGAACACACCCACAATTTTCCTAGAAGATGGAACAGTGCCTCCCAGGGGAGACTCAGAGGCCTCACCCTCTGCATCGCAACAGAAGCTCCCTCTAGAGGCAGGTGAAGGAGATACAGGTGGTGTAGCCATAAGTTGGATGACCCACCCCAGGGCTCTGAGCTGATGGAAAACCAGAGACGGATCCAGAGAAAACTCGGAAGGCAAACACCAATGACTGAGACGAACTTCACCTCACTCTTCCTCAGAACTTGTGTTTTCTTCTTTTTTGCCTTTCACATAGCCTTTTAATATTGGGAAATATCCTCGCTTTGGGTGAGGACACCATGGTTATTGCTGTTCTTCCCCAACGGTATTCCTATTTGTTCACTACTTGTTTGCACTTCGAATCCCATTGGCTACTCTCCCCCTTGTCTCACTCCATGTTGCCTTCCCCCTGCCTTTGATCAGTTGAGTTAGGGATTCCCACCCCCTTTCTTAGCCTGGGTTCTATTTCTCACTCTTATTGGTATTTCTGCCCCCTCCTCTCAAAATCATTTTTATTTACTGCAGACATCTCATATTCACTTCTGTCTTTTGTATAATATTCTTCTTCCCTTTCCCCCTTTATTGATCTTTGCGCAGCTGTCACTGTTATTGACCCTGCTGTGGTTTTTCTGCAGTTCTGTTCCCATTGGTTCAATACCTTTTTATTTGTGTCAGACCTCATAGTATACTCTTCCCTTCTCTTGCTCTATTTTTGCCATCACCCTGCCCTGTTTCACTTACGTTTTAAATTTCATTCTCTGCCTTTTTTTTTTGCCTGGTTTCTATCCCTACTCTTATTATTTCTCCCCCACTCTTCCCACTCAAAATCATTTTCCCCCTTTAACACCCCATATTTCCTCTTTCCTACCTTATAATATTCTTAATCTCAACCTTTATTAATTTTCGCCCAATTGTTGTTGATATTGCTGATGTGGTAGGGGTTTTCTTATTGCTGTTGGCATGAGTTCAGTTTTCTGGCAATATTGTTTTGTTAACCAGCATGATATACACAAAGTACAACAGCATATAAGATATGGTGGGAGGTGTGACTACCAGTCAGCAAGCTGGAGGGGGGAACCCACCAATGAATGAGCCACCAACAAGAAAACCCACACAAACTGAATAATGGGCAACCCCAGAGCATCCAGATCAGGAGATCAAAGAAACTGCACCATTTAGGCCCCCAGCACTCCTGCCACAGAAGTACATCCCACAAAGACAGGCAGGCAAAGCAGAGCATCCTGAGATGCAGAAATAGATGCAGAAATAAACAAAAAGAGCCACCGGAAATGGGGAAGTAAAGGAAGAAGCCCCAGTTGAAAGTAATGGTGGAATCCACAGAAAAAGAGCTAAATGAAATTGAGGTGAGCAATCTATCAGATTTAGAATTTTAAAAAATGGTTATAAGGATAGTCAAGGAACTCACTGACAACTACAAGGAACTGAATGGGAATTATGGCAGCATGAAAAAGGACATAGACACTACAAACAAGAACCAGGGAGAAATGAAGAATATAATATTTGAAATGAATAATAGACTAGAAGGAATTAAAAACAGGCTGAATGAAGCTGAGAACCAAATCAGCAAGCTGGAAGGCAAGGTAGAAAGAGATACCCAGGCAGAGCAACAAAATGAAACAAACAAAAAAAAGACTCAAAAAAAAATGAGGATAGTTTAAGGGACTTCAGGACAACATGAAATGTAACATTTGCATCATAGGAATATCAGAAAAAATTACAAATAAACAACCTAACCCTACATCAACAAGAACTAGAGGAGCAACAACAAAGCCCAGAGTGAGTGGAAGGAAAAACATGATCAATATCAGAGCAGAATTAAATGACATAGAGACTAAAAGAATGATTCAAAGGATCAATAAATCCAGGAGCTTGTTCTTTGAAAAGATAAACAAAATCGACCAGATTCATCAAGAAAAAAAGAGAGGACCCAAATAATTAAGATCAGAAACAAAAGAGGAGAAATTGCAATTGATACCAGAGAAATACAAAGGATTATCAGAAACTGACAAACAACTATGTGCCAGGAAATGTGACAACCTGGGTGAAATGGACAAAGTTTTAGAAACTTATAATCTTCTAAAACAGAATCAAGAAGAAGCAGAAAGCTTGAATAGACAAATAACAACTTGTGAAATTGAAGCAGTAATCAAAAAACTCCCTGCACACAAAAGCCCTGGACCGGATGGCTACACAGGAGAATTTTACAACACATAGGAGGGAAGAGCTAACTCCTATCCTGCTCAAAGTATTCCAAAAAATTCAAGAAGAGGGAAGACTCCTAAACTCTTTTCATGAGGCCAGTATCGTCCTAATTCCAAAACCAGGTAAAAACACAACAAAGAAAAAAAACTACAGGCCAATATCTCTGATGAACATAGACACTAAAATCCTCAACAAAATATTGGCAAACTGAATCCAGCAATACATTAAAAAGATCAAACACCATGATCAAGTGGGATTCATCTCAGGGATACAAGGATGGTATAATATTTGCAAATCAAGAAACATAATAAGCATAAACAAAATGAAAGACAAAAATCACATGATCATATCAAAAGATGCTGAAACAGCACTGACTTATCATAAAAACACTCAACAAAGTAGGAGTAGAGGGAGCATTCCTCAACACAGTAAAGGCCATATACAAGAAAGCTATAGCCAAAATCATAGTCAATGGGCAAAAACTAAAAGCGTTCTCTTAGGCACAAGACAAGGATGTCTGCTTTCACCACCTCTATTCAACATAATATTGGAAGTTCTAGCCACAGTGATCAGACAAGAAATAGAAATAAAAATCATCCAAATTGGAAAGAAGTATAACTGATATTATTTGCAGATGACATGATAGTGTACAGAGAAAACACCATAGACTCCACCAAAAAGCGACCTGACCTATTAAATGAATTTGGCAAAATAGCGAGATACAAAGTCAATATTCAGAAATCAAAGGCATTTTTGTACACCAACAATGAAATATCAGAAACAGAAACTAGGAAAAAATCCCATTTTATACAGGAATAAGAAAAATGAAGTACCTAGGAATAAACCTAACCAAGGACGTAAAAGACCGGTACTCAGAAAACTTCACAACACTTTAGAAAAAATTAAGGAATACACAAATAAATGGAAGCATATACCATGTTCATGTTTGGGAAAATAACATTATCAAAATGTCCATAGTACCTAAAACAATTTATAGATTTAATGCAAAATACCAATTAACATATCTCACGGATATAAAACAAATATTTCAAAAACTTATATGGAACCATAAATGACCCCAGATAGCCTCACCAATTTTGAGAAAGAAGAGCAAAGTAGGAGGGATCATAATATTTGGTATCAAACTATACTACAAGGCCACTGTAGTCAAAACAGTCTGGTACTGGCATAAGAACAAAAGGATCAATGGAATTGAATAGAGAGCCCAGAAATAAATTCATGTCTCGACGGTCAATTAATATTTGACAAAGTGGGCAGGAGCATAAAATGGAGTAAAAATAGCTCCTTCAATAAATGGTGTTGGGATGCCAAAAAAAAAAAAAAAAAGAAGAAGAAACTACATCACCAACTTACACCATACATCAAAATAAACTCAAGATGAATAAAATACTGAAATACAAGTCATGACACCATAAAAGCACAACATAGGCAGTAAAACCTCAGATATCCCATATAGCAATATTTTTGCCAAAATATGTCCTAGGGCAAGGGCTATAAAGGAAAGAATAAACAAATGGGACTACATCAAATTAAAAAGCTTCTGCATGGCTAAAGAAAACATCGGCAAAATGAAAAGGGAACCAACTGTACAGGAAAACATATTTGCTAATGATACCTTGGACAAGGGTGTGATCTTCAAAATATATAAAGAACTAACATGACTCCACTCCAGGAAGACAACCCAATTAGAAAATGAGCAAAGGACCTAAACAGATACTTCTCCGAGGAGGACATACAGAAGGACCAGAGACATATGAAAGGATGCTCAGCACCACTAGCCATCAGAAAGATGCAAATGAAAATCACAATGAGATAACCGCTTCACATGGATCAGACTGGCCATTATTAATAAATCTACAAACAACAAGTGCTGGCGAGGATGTGGAGAAAAGAGAACCCTGGTTCACTGTTGGTGGGAGTGCAGACTGGTACAGCCACTGTGGAAAACAGTATGGAATTTCCTCAAAAAACTAAAGATGGAACCACTGTTTGATCCAGTGATCCCATTGCTGGGATTATACCCTAAGAACCCTGAATCACCAATTCAAAAGAACCTATGCACCCCAGTGTTCACAGCAGCATTATTTACAATAGCCAAGTGCTGGAAACAGCCAAGTGACCATCAGTAATGAGTGGATCAGAAATCTGTGGTACATTTACACACTGGAATTCTATGCAGCAGAGAGAAAGAAGGAGCTCCTACTCTTTGGGACAACACTGATGGAACTGGAGAGTATTACGCTAAGTGAAATAAGCCAGGAGGCGAAAGACGAATACCATATGATCTCACCTATAAGTGGAAGCTAATGAACAAAACAAAAAATGAGCCAAATAGAACCAGAGACATGGAGATAAGGGACAAATTGACAGTGATAAAAGAAATAGGGGGAGAGGAATAACGGGGAAGAAGGGGAACAGTCTAGTCAAGAAACATGAAAAAAGAACCCATGGACATGAACAGCAGGGTGGAAACTCAGGGAGAGGGTGGAGGGTGGGACAGTGTAGAACAGTGGGGGAAACTGGGACGACTGTAACTGAACGACAACAACAAAAAGAATTTAAATCCTTCTTCCAATTAATTTTCATCTTTGCTCTTGAGACAGAGGAAAGAGGTACCCTGAAACAAGGAAATGGGAAGAGACCAGGTGAAAACAAGAAGGACTGGGTAAAAACTAATAGGTGTAAAAACAGATCAATAATGTTTAATAAAACAAAATTTTTAAACAACTAAGAATAGCCAAAGCACATACAATTATTTACGCATGATATGAAGTTTGCTGTTATATGTGAAAATCAGAAAGGAAATACCAGACTTTAGATAAATAGTGCTCACCAGATATAACAAAAGGAATAATTTGAGCTCATTTTCCTAGGTTGTGTTCTTTTGGTAAATGCTAAATGTCCCAGAGCTGAAATCTTTTCACTATAAAACAGGTTTTTAAAATATGTATATGTTTTATATCATAGTTGATGATTCCACAAATGTGAATGTAACTATAACAGATATATCCAAAGAAAGAAACAAAGAATTACTTACATCTCACACTTCATTTACTAAAATTCTATGGTGAGTAGCAAACTCATAATATAGTTCAGAGCCAATCACTTTACATTAAAAACTTCAAACTGAAATACCACTAGGAAAGGACACTCACCTTGGCTTTATTCTTGACGATGGACCCAGGTAATTTGTCGTAATGGAGGTGAGTTGCCAAAATCCTTGGTGACGGAAACTGTTTCATTCTCTTGAAAATATATACAACAAGTTGAAAGCAAGTGTGTGTGTGTCTGTGTTTATAGTAAATTACTCCTAAGTTTCCTATATCAATGGTAGTGGGTTTGTTTTTTATTGTTGGTTTTTTTAGATTTTATTTATTTTTAGAGAGGGAAAAGAGAGGAAGAAAAGAGAGGGAGAGAAACACCAATGTGTGATTGCTTCTCACACCCCCACTGGGGACCTGGCCTGCAACCCAGGCATGTGCCCTGACTGGGAATCAAACCAGAGACCCTTTGGTTTGCAGGCTGGCACTCAATCCACTGAGCCACCAGCCAGGGCTGAATGACAGCTCTAAGCATTACTATTGCTGTGTCTTCTCCTCTTCCTCCTCCATTTTTTTTACTTCTATTTCCTTTGTGGGTACAAGGAATGGAGAATCATAAATGAATAGTTAGAATTTTCCTTTTGAACTTCCTTGTTGGATACTGCTTATCATTTTTTGGTTATTTTTTTAATTTACCTTTTCCCATAATAATGCCAAATATTTTGTTCAAGAAACCTCATAATGTGCAATCTACCTTTTCATTTAATTTGGATCTCTCTACATTCAAGGTTTTTAACAAAAATATTCAAGTCTTCCCATAGTTCCTTCAAATCCATTTTTCACATCTAGATCTATTTTGTTTTACAAACAAAACTCCATTCAATTAAATGCTCCAGCAGAACCTGAATGTGCATAGTCACTGAAATATCTGAGAAATAATTTATGAGAGAAATTCTTGTCAGTATAAGGACTCAGTGATTGATTCTTTTTCTTTTTTTTTTGTAAGATGCTTCTACTGATTGTTTTACTTATTATTTTATTTTATTTTTCAATTACAGCTTATATTTAATACTACTTTGTATTCATTTCAGGTGTACAGCATGGTGGGTAAATGATCATGTCCTTTACAAAATGATCTACCAGGAATTGCAAAAGTGAGTTGTAACCTGTTTGATCTGCCAAGGTTCAGGGTTTCATCTTGATATCAGATGTTTATTATATGTTATGTGGCAGGAAGGGGGAAGGTGTCAAATATTCATTTCCATGCTTGTAGACTAGGTTACTCACTACTTGGTAGCATAATTTTCAAGTGATAAAATGATACTCTGATATTTATAGGCAATTGTTGTGTAAAAACTTAGTGGAGATTTCAGCTCAAGCAAGGAGGCAAAAAATGAGGTTTAAAAAATTAAAAACAATTTAAATCAATGATATGGGCCCAACTGGTGACTAGGAGTCATACCACTTGGCTTACATAAAGTTGCACTTTGTAGATTTGGACATACTTCTGTAATCATTCACAGTAATCCTCTCAGGCAGACAACACGGTAACCCCCATTTTAGAGATTAACCATGGCTTTGAGGTTGTAAACCCTTTTCAAAAAGTCACACAGGTAGTAATTTTCAGATTAAGTGATAGAGTCCTTTTTCCACAAACTACATGTCCAAAAATCACACAAAGACATATGAGAAACAGTAAAGTTCCTAAAAGAATTAGAAAAATATCCAAGGGGAAAATGGGAGTTAAATGTAACAAAACTGGATAAACATGTAATATGTTCATGAAAATGTGTGATAGAATCATACTGTAAGCAATGCAAAGACTAGATATAGAGACATCTCATCTAAGAAAATACATGTATTTTAGAAAAGTTTTTTTGGAAAGTGAACTTTTATGTAGAGTTCACCCTCTCTCACTTCCATTTTAAAACAAAAGGCATATTGCATAGAAAAGTATCTGTGTTGTTAGGTATGATGAAATTACAAAAATACAAAAAATGTTTTTAAAACTACCTGGAGAAAAATATATAAACATTTCTGATAAACTACAGATATTCAAAGCCCAGATATCATACCGAGTTAAAACATTTTCCAGAAACCCTGGAACTGCAATCTTATGTCTCAATCTTATAGAACATTTTAATATTAGTTTAGATGATTTTAAAGTCTTCCTTTTTACTAAAGGGTTCTCTTTCTTTATTTCTTTCTCTTCTTCTTCATTTTTTAAAAAATAAGCTGGCTATACTGTGTAGAGGTTAAGAACCCTGATCAGGAAACTTGGGTTCAAATCTTAGCCCTGCCTTTTATTTCCCCTTGACCTTGAGCAAATGTCTAACAGTTTTACCTTTTGTAAAATGGTGATAAGATTATTCTGTAATAAAATGAAACAATCTCTGAAAAGTGCTGGGGATAGGATAAGCACACACTAAGTTCCAATAATTATTAGTATTATGCTTTCTGAACTCAAAGCTCAAAGATACTCAAACCAGAAGAAATCTTTCTCTGATAATTTGCTATAAATTTAAAGGTTATTTTGTACTAACCTGATATTTTTCTGGGTCCCCACATTCAAGAACCGGGAATTCTGGATATTCATACTTTTTTTTAGAATCAGCAAATATTAACTCCCTAATAATGTGAAGAATCCAGTTTGAACCTATAGGGAAAATCAGACATACAAAGCTCATTAAGGAGTCTTGATATAGTAATGACATGTTACTTTAGCAAGCCCATCCTAAAAATTAGAATCTGCCATCATTTCCTGATGTGTGTGGTCAGCTCTTCTGTGTTTGAAGCAACCTGGGCTGTGCAAAGGAACAAAGGCTTGTGGAAAACGTTATTTACTGACATTAATATAAATTCAACTTATCTCTCAGACTTCTCCTTTAATAAGAAATAGTACTTCTTTCTGAACCTACAATATGTTCTTTACAGAAACACATTATGCTGTGGCAATGACTGTTTAACATGCATCACGTGTTATTTTACATTAATGAACGTTTTCAATAGGAGTATATAACTTTGATCTTATAAAAACCCAGCATCAGTGAAGGGAAAAAATATGAAATCAGGTTGGCTTTAATAAACACTTAGAGATAAAATAACTGTTTAAAAACATCAAAAGTTGATGGTATGAAATTGGATAATTTATATTCTTAATATTTTATCCTCCATCGATGATCGACCATTGTAAGACTGGTTTGAGAAACTGGAGGGTTGATGTTGTATCCTGAAAAAGTAACTGATTACATGGAAATCACATAAATTATGGACGCAGCTGCGTTTTTACTTTGGTCCAAAATCAAGATGACAAACGACTACTACTCTCAGTGCTGCTTAGCAACTGGACTTCCCCGTCCTGTTTCTGTTTGCCGGCCCCTCTGAGCATCTGTCTCCTTCCACCCCAGCCCCAGACCAGCCCAGCCCACCCGCCTTGCTCCTGACACACAGGCCTCCTTCCTCAGACCCTGGGGGGTTTCTAAATCTAGCAGTTTCAGTTGGTGACTCTACATTCTGCACTTTGGCCCACCTTGGCCGTCCTCCGCACTGATTTCTGGCTGCCTTCCTGCCACCTTTGCCTCGCACCCTGCCCAACCTACTCACTGTGTAAAAGTGGCCTTGTAGAAAGCGAGTTATTTACCGCACTTCGGATAGGATGCTAGCACGATGTCATCACTTCGGGCTTCAAAGGCATCCAAGGCTTGGAACGTTTCTGAGGTGCACATGGTGACCGGGTAAGGAATCCCCTGATAGGTGAAAAACAAGCGAGAAAGTGCAGTTTCTTTGGATTTTTCCAGAGCTTCATCAATGTAGTCAATAAACTTGGACTTATCAGTGGCCATGCTGGCTGCCTGGTAATGAACCTGCTGTGTAGGGGCAGTGGTAGCTTTTAATGGAGCTTCTCAGGAGGTGGAAGAAAGCGCTCCTCCCGTTCAGATGAGGAGGAAGTCATTTAATTCTCATGCAGCCTCCCACCCCAGCCTTTGTGAATACCCACCTCTGACAAAAGGCAAACCACAGGTGCAAAACAGGCTGAGGATCAGGGAATATTACCCCAAGGGTAGATTATATTACCATTATAGGCACCCCTCCCAATGAAAGTAAGAATGGAATCTGTTAATAGACAATAATAGATATTGAATGTTGAACAAATAGTTATTTGATTGAATCAGGCATACAATATTCGTATTTGCAAAAAAGCAATTCATGGAATGAAACCTCAGCCCTGTCTTCAGTTGATAGCTTTGCACATACATCCCATGTGGCGTGACAAGGAAGTAATGGGGTGGAAGAGAGTCCATGATTTGGGGGCAATTTTAGACACTGGGCTCAGATCTGCCGTTTGCTGGCTCAATAAATTTAGAAGTCTAAAGACCTGAGGTCGAATCTTGGCTCTACCATATGCTAGTTGTGTTATTCTGAGCTCGTAATGAACTTGCAAGGGCCACGTGGAATGGAGATAATGACAGCTGCTCTTCCTGACCTGTTTAACAGTAGAGCTGTGTGGTTCAGAGAAGGAAGATGCTTTTGTCAAGGGGAACGGATGCACTGGTACTGCTGTGCTCCAAGCTCCTTCCCTGAAGGTCGAAGTTTCTAGAGTGAGACAGACGCTCACTCTCTGCTATCCAGCTTCTCCCCCACAGTCTCTTTTCTTTTCAGGGGTGTCCAACCTTTTGGCGTCTCTGGACCACACAGCTCCAGAAGACGTTGTCTGGCAGAAGAGTTGTCTTGGGCCACACATTAAATTCACAAACACTGACAAAAACTGATGAGCAAAAAAAAAGAAAAGGTTTAAAGTAAATTTATGATTTTGTGTTGAGCCACATTTGTAGCCATCCTGGGCCACAGGAGGCCCATAGGGCTGCATGGTGAACACCTCTGCATGTTTAGAGAAATTGAACTGTAGTCTTACCTCCTTTGCAGCTTGGTATGGCCCTGGGGCTGGTGGGAGTTGAGCAGAGATAATGCAAGCAACTCCTTGGTCTTGTCCTTATCACAGGGAGTTGATTGTTCTCTAATTCTTCTCTTTCCCCTTTCTCACATCTGCAGGACAGACAGATGCTAGCCAGCCAGATTTGCAAATTCAGAGAAAGACATTCTTCCAGGGGATGGTAGACCAAGACAGAAGGAACTTGGCTCACTGGACAACCTGATGAAATAAAGCCACTCTGCAAATAACCTACCTCCTTCTCACCAATATTTGAAAGAATACGATCATCTACCATGTGGGACCCACTGAATCTTTAGTGTCCTTGTTACAGTAATTTAGTCTATATTCTAATTACACTTTCTGGGTCAAAATTTACTCCTTGTCCTCTTCTTAACTCAAGTATCCTTGAACATACCCTTGTATATTGAGTTTTCTTCTTTCTCTACCATTTTCTTCTCCACATCATTCTTCTTATTCTTCCATTTTTATCCCCTCTAACCCCAGGGACATATATTTTTTGAAAACTATATTTACTTCTCTCTAACTAATGCTTAAAACTTAAGAAGTTAATTCCTAGGCTAAACCTTAAGAAGTTAACTCTTAGTTATGCATAGTTACTTAGCTGCTACAGTTACGTATGTATTGGTTAAAATGACAGCTAATATCATTGAATAATAGCTAACAAAAATGGATCACTTGTATGTACCAGACATCCTGCCAAGCTGGTAAGATTACATGGATGATTGAATGTAACTTCATATTCGTAACAGCCCTATGAATGAAACCAGTGTTAACTACTGTTACCATTCCCCAGGTAGGTTCATTGGAGTTTTACAGAGCTGAGTTGAGTTAGCTGTTGAAGGAGGTGGGCTTGGAAGGCAGGCTGAGTTTCCTGGCGAAAAGGCAATTGCAGCAAGATCCTTCTTAGAGGTCCCAGGTTTAGTTAGCGCCACTGCATTCCTGGCGCTTCTTCATCTGCTGCAAGAAACAAGGCCACAGGACTTTTTAAGGAAAAACAACTCTTACCTTCTGAGGAGAGACTTTTTTTTTGTGACCCCAAGGGAAAGAACTCTCCTGGATTCTAGAACATTTTATTTAATAATAGCATTTTGAGAAATCACTATGTCAAGTGTACACAGATTGTAAGATGCATTCCAATTTCAGAAATGGAAACATATGCAGCACAGAATTGAGCAAATGTTATATGTCACTGAAAGTATCTTACTGGTGGCTGTGGGAAGGCAACTTTTCATCTCCATTTTGAGAGGAAAGGAATAAGTATCTGGGTTTTGTTAAAATTGTGACTATTTTATTATTATTATTATTATTATTATTATTATTATTATTATTTTAGAGAGAGGGGGAAGGGAGGGAGAAAGAGAGGGAGAGAAACATTGATGTGAGAGAGAAACATTGATAGGTTGCCCTTCATACACGCCCCGATCAGGGACTGAATCCACAACCCAGGCATGTGCCCTGACCGGGAGTCAAACCAGTGACTTTGCTCTTTGCAGGATGATGTCTAAGTCACAGTGGTCAGGGCATGATTTTTTTTTTTTAAGTTTGTAAAAAGGTAAAACTAGAATGTGTGAGTGTCTATTTTTTAATTTCCATAGAGCACTTCCTCTTCAAGGTCTTATTACTTTATATAATAAGAAGATGGTATTCACTGGAGGTGGGCAGGTTGTGTATTTCAGAATTTCCTTGCCCCCAAAGAAAATGGGGTAGGACTGGACTTTCTGCCAAGCTGCTTAGTGGGATTGTACCTTCCATTATAAAGAGTCTTTGTTTCCCTGGGGAAGATAGAATTTAAGACATTAATCCGAACATTGTTATTGTCCTTTCTTTGGCACTTAGTGAGTAAAACATTAAAAAAGACAGTACGACTGGATCCTGTTCTGACACTAATGCCTGTAATTATAGGAGGATTCAGGGGCTGTTTTGAATTGTAATATCAGCTTTCATTCTTGTTTGTCTCCCTAAGCTCAGGGCAACCTGTCAACCTTATAATTCCATACACTCAACTCTAATTGTCTGGGATGCACGAGGGGAGGAAACAGTCGCATGAATAATAGCGAAATACCCAGGCTGCATGACGCATTTGCACTGGCGTGCCTTTGAGTGCAGGTGGGCCTCATGCTCTGTGAAGTCTCAGCTTGCTGTTCAGCTCCTGGGGCTATTCAGACCGGGGGCAAGTGGTCTCAGACAGTGCCGGCCTGACTTGGCTTCATGGCCTTGGTGGCAACAGCATAGGAGGCTTATTTAAAGCATTTTTCTTCAAGATTAAAGATTGTCCCTACTTACCTCCTTTCTGTTATTTTCTAGGCTATCAACTAAGAAAGAGAGAGAGAGAACAGGTGACAAAAAGAAAAAAAAGTCTAGGGTTATTGAACTCAAGTCCGATTAGTAAACCGGGAATCAAGTAGCATGTGGCTCTGGTGTGCCCACTGGTCCAAAGCTGGTTTTTCAGGGCAGGGAAATTGGCCCCTTCGATTCTGTCTTCCCGTCTGTGTAGTGGGGTGGGGTGCTTTTTCCCTCTGTTTTAGCAAAGGAAGTTCAGGATTGAAATTTACCTTGGAATCCTGCAGGTAGGGAGAAGGGTATATCCTCTTTGTAGTTTGGGAGTTTACTAAAACTGGCTCCCCTCTTCAGAAGTTGAATACCAGGAAGGCAGGATGGAGTCCAGGACATAGTGGATGCTGGACACATTCAGGATCTCAGGCTGTTTGTCTGGTAATGCTTTGTCCTTCTGGATAGAAGGCGATGGAGAACCCTTCCACTCCAGTGCTGCCAGCTGCCTGTGCAAGGGTCCTGCCCTCACTTCCCTGCCTTGGGCACAGTGTCCCCAGCAGCTGCAATGCTCCACTTCTCTGTGTGTCCTGTGGCCATCCAAGGGAAACCTGGGCCATTCCAAGATCCTGGGCTCTCTTGTCTGTAGGTGCCATTTGGCACCCAGCATCAGTGGGTCATCTACACAAATCTAGACTAATCTCTGTGGCCTCATGTCAGGTAATTAAACGAGCTTTACCTTGAGGATCCCAGCCAGGTTAGCTAGCTGCTCTCTCTCCAGGCCAGCAGTGAGAGAATGGACAGCAAGCGTCCTAGGTAGTGTTAATGTCGGATCACTGCGGCTGTTGTACCTGTGACCACTACAGAAGGCTGGGATTTTGGCCAGCTTCTGTGAGTGGGGTGGGGTGTAGCAAGGAGAATTTCCTGTTGACCACTTGCTTCCCTCTGCCAGAGTTAGCAAATCAGGATCAAACTGCGAAAACACAGCCCTCAAAGGGACACTTTTGGGAGGGGTACTGGAGAGTTGGAGGAGGATCAACTAGACTTCTGAATGGAGGAGCTTGAGCATTTGCCTCTGGGTTTGGGGCTGGAGCAGGTTAGTTACCCCTCACCCCAATTATGTGCACGCATAGCCCTCATGCCTGCTACTTTTCTCCACTTGACACTTGTGAGAATCAGTTCCAGTTTGAAAATCTGCTACCAGTCTCTCCCACCTGCCCTCAAAACCCTATGCCCTCTACCGCAATTCACTGATCAAAGATTGAATCAACTTGACCACAGCCTCCACTAGAGTCTAAACATTTCCTGCCCTAAACTTTGTGGCCAAATAATCCTTACCTCAAAACATATTTGTGAAATCTATAGTGGGGTACAGGATGTGTAAGAAATGAATATGAGGATGTCAAGTTTTGTGTGATACTGGGAAACGCCCACCCCAATTAAAAACCTCCCTTAAGTTATTTTATATATATTCCCCAGTGGAAATGATTGAGTTTCTGTGGAATTGTTTCAGTCTGTTATCAAGTTTTTTTTCCCTTTAGTCTGAACCATTTCAATGACCTTTTCATCTTGTTTTGTCATCCTGGTATCTTTAACACCAATGCTCTGGCATCTCAAACTGAAGCAGGGCCTGGCACACAATAAGTGATATATACAATGTACATCATGTCACTTAACTATATAATACATATTTTAAACAAATTGTTGAAGTAATAGGGGTGGCTTTTAAAATGAGAAATACTTATTGTGGGTGAATCCCCGAATGGGCTGAATCTCTAAAGACTGCAGAAGTCCTGGTTGGGGAGGAGAGGAGAGGAAACTCAACAGAGCAGGCAATGCCTCACAGTTCTGAAAAATGTTTGAGAAAAACGGGTTATGGCAGCAAAAACAATAACGGACAATAAAAAGAGATCTTATGAGGAAAGCTTGAGAGAAAGTCAGAGACTTAGCATTAATAGAATGGAGGTTCAGGCCAGACACAGTTTCAAAAGAGCAAACAGGAGCGGTCAGGAGACTGTACGTACCCAGGAGACTGTACTGTACTGTACGTACCTCTTCATAGAGGTCACCAGAAACGTTGACATAGTGGAAGAGGCTGGGGCTCTGGGTCTGCGTAGACCTGAATGATCTTGACTAATAATGACATTATTACCTTTAAATGAATATGGTTTACGTATCCACATTTCCCACTATTTATGATAGTTTAGTTGCGCAAATGAACCACATGTGGGGGTTGGATAAAAAAATTGGGGGCATCGACTTCTGCCAAGATGGAGGCATAGGTGGAGACGTTGTGCTTCCTCACACAACCAAGTTTAGAGACAACTAAATATTAGCAACAGAAAACATAGCTCGAACACAGAAAATTGAACTTTTCATAAATCTGATAACAATATATTCTTCAGCCTGACCAGTAAGAGGGGCAAAGCCAGCAGCTGGAGGAGCGGGGTTGCGCAGGAAAACTCGGTCAGATGAACTCAGGCGCACGGAATCCAGGTGCAGGGTTGGACCTGGTGGGCAACTCAGCGAGCGACCGCGGGGAAACAGCAAGGGAGCAGGGCTGCGGGTTGACTGTGGTCGCACATCCGTGCGTGGATAGACAAGCGAGGGAGTGGGCAATTGGACGGGAGCCAGCCGGCCCCAGTGGCGAGCGGCAGCGGAGGGCGCCGCCATTTCCCCGCTCTGACCCCGCCTCCACATACAGCGTCATAACGCAGCGACCTAAGAGGCCCTACCCCGTGAATCACCTGAGGCTCAGCTCCTCACCCAGTGGCAAGAAACGGCAGAGGGGGCCGCCATTTCCCTGCTCTGACCACGCCCCCACATACAGTGTCACAACCCAGCGTCCTGGGAGTCCGAGGCTCCCCTCCTTAACGGGCGTAAACAGACCAAAAATGGCTCAAGAAAATCTCAAAGCCCCAGAGCCTATAAATCTAAGCAATGAAGAAATAGCAAAACTCTCTGACACACAGTTTAAAACACTGGTGGTCAGGATCCTCACAGAACTGGTTGATTATAGCCACAAATTAGACAAACATATGAAGGCGAAACTAATTGAAATGAATGGAATTGCACAGGAAACCAATAGCGATGGAAAGGAAACTGGGACTCAAATCAATGGAGTGGACCAGAAGAAAGCAAATAATGGCCAAACAGAAAAGAGTGAAGAAGCAAGAATTCAAAAAAATGAGGAGAAGCTTAGGAACCTCCAGGTCATCTTTAAACGCTCCAACATCCGAATTATAGGGGTACCAGAAGAAGAAAAGGAACAGCCACCAGTGGAAAACTTATTTGAACAAATAATAAAGGAGAATTTCCCCAATCTGACAAAGGAAATAGACTTCCAGGAGATCCAGGAAGCTCAGAGAGTCCCAAAGAAGTTGGACCCAAGAAGAAACACACCAGGGCACATCATCATTACATTAGCCAAGATTAAAATGAAGGAGAGAATCCTACAAGCAGCAAGAGCTAAGGGGACAGTCACCTACAAAGGAGTTCCCATCAGACTGTCAGCGGATTTCTCAAAAGAGACCTTACAAGCAAGAAGGGGCTGGAAAGAGGTATTCCAAGTCATGAAATCCAAAGACCTACATCCAAGATTGCTCTATCCAGCAAAGCTATCATTTAGAATGGAAGGACAGATAAAGTGCTTCTCAGATAAGATCAAATTCAAGGAGTTCATCATCACCAAGCCCTTATTGTATGAAATGCTAAAGGGACTTACCTAAGAAAAAGAAGTTTAAAAAACATGAACAGTGAAAGAACAGCAAACTCACAGTTATTAACAACCATACCTAAAACAAAAGCAAACTAAAAGGACAGCTAGATCAGGAGCAGAAACATAGAAATGAAGATCTCAAGGAGGGTTAGCAACAGGGGAGTGGGAGGAGGAGAAGGTACAGAAAATAAGTAGCATAGACAGTAGATAGAAAATAGATGGGGGTCAAGAACAGTATGGGAAATATAGAATCTAAGGAACTTGAGACACATGGTCATAAACTAAAGGGGGGATAATGATGGGGATGGGGGGTAGGGTGGAGGGGAATGAAGGGGGGCATAGAACAACTGTAATGGCATAATCAATTTTAAAACTAAATAATTAAATAAAAAGAAAAAAAAAGAAAAATTGGGGGCATCAGGGAGTGCTTCTCAGAGGCACTTCCTTTACTTGGCACTGACAAAACCTGCACCAGCCATTACCCCTTCTCTCGAAGCTCATGGATCTCTCTGGTCTGAAGCAAGGCCCTAATTACTGTGAGCTTTTCATTAGTTATTTGCAGACATGTTTTGTTTTCCTCTAGATTACATCATCAGTGAAGGTAGATCTGTGCCTATTTGGGGTAGTCCAGGCTTTCTTTTGCACCTGGTGCCTTAATAGACCTTTATATTCCTTTTCTCCTCCTCCCCTTCCCCCTCTTCCTCCTCCTACCTTTTGGGCATTAGAGGCAGTGCTTCTCAAATTTTAATTTGCAATAGGGATCTGGCTAAAATGTAGATTTTGATCCAGTAGATCTGGGTTTCTAACAAGTGAAGCCAATATGCTGATTCTTGGACACTATCATACTTTGGGTTGAAGGGTGCAGAAAAGCGAGCATAGGCTTTGGAGTTGGCGTCCTTGGTTCAAATATGAGCTGTATCTTATTAGTTGTGCGATTGTGGGCAGGGTAAGCCTTTCCCCTTCTCTGTACAATGAGATATTCACAGCACAGACTTATTTTGAGGATTCAATAAAATAATCTATGTTGTCCGCAGTCAGAACAGGCTCCTAGCAAGAGTACAATAAATAATTACGGTGGGGGCGGGGCCAACGCCGGGAGGGGCGGGGCTCCGCCAGCGGAGCTCGAGCGCTGCGCTGCGTGAGCGCAATCCGGCCGAGACGGCGGCGCGGGGCTCTAGTTCGCAGGTGTGGCTTGGGCTACCCGGAGCCCGGAGTGCGGCAGGTTTTGGTGGGACGTCTTTATAGAGTTTTGGGGCCGCGCTCAACACACTCGGGTGTCACGGTCTCGTGTCCAAGGGAGCGAGCGCGGGACTAGCCCGAGTGTTTCCGGGTCGCTCCGACGTCTGGGCTGCGCGGCCGGGGTGGTGCAGGCCGGCCTGGAACTTCTCGGGATCCCGGGCCACTGAGAGTCGGGGGCTGCCACGGTGCACCGGGCTGCTGGGGTGATGACGGTGGGAGCTGAGCGCCTCGGTGACGCGGGGCGGCGAGGGGCCGAAAATCGTGGGTAGCCAGCCTGAGGGCCGCGGCCCTGGCGCCTCGCAGGTTGCTTTGTTCTTGACGGTGGGAACCAGAAAAAAACGGCTCTTGCTACTGAAACCCAGAGTCGAAGCTGAGAAAGCTTGTTCTGCAACATCTAAGCTGTTGAGAGACCTCGCTGTGTGGAATCATGTTGCCTGGACACACCGAGTCTGTCTGATTTCAAGCTTTGGTGCACAGATGCGGGGTTTCGGAGGCAACACTGACCTTTGTCTTAGCTTGTGCGCCTAGAGTGGGCCTCTCGGCCCCACGGGTGTTAACCCCGTGGCGCACAGCCCTGCTTTTCTGCGAGCCCGTCAGAGGGCGGCTTGGTTTTAAACTTCACCTAAGTTCCACCTTCAAAATCTCGGCTACTTGTGCTCCTCCTCTGCCAGTTAGTAATCTAGCTTTGTCCTGGACAGTATGGCTTTCGTGGTCTTAACAAATGGGCCTTATCAGTCGTTATAAACACCTCTCGTGAACTGAGGGACTTGGAATGTAAAATGTGTGTGTGTGTGAGAGAGAGACACACACACACACACATTTTCAAAAAAGGCGAATGGTTTATTTTACAGTGTTGGATTTTATTGCTTGAATCCTTAACCTCACCCTCTCCAACAAAACAAATCAAAACAAAGTTTTACTTGGAATTCTTACACTGTGGGTCCAGCTACAGACAGGCCTTGTTTTGTTCTTTTCACCTTTTGAACATTAAAATAACTCAGGAGAGCTCCCAGTACTGATCAGGATTTACTTACCGTCAGTAATGTCCAGCATTGTAGTAAATAGCAAAATAACTCTCCCTACCCACTCACCTGCCTGATGTTTGTAAGTTCTTCTCCTCCTTTATTTTTTTTTAACTTCCTCTGCTTTTCTTTTAGGGAAGAATAATAAAGTTTTAGTCTTTTAGTCCCCAGGGTGATCACATTATCAAAATGAGAGAAGGGAATTTTCGGAGCAAGGACACCTGATAACGATATTAGTAGGATAATCCTACAAAGGTAGGGTGTTTAGTTACCCCCACCCTTGGGCACTGTGAGGAGTCAGAGGTGAATGGAGTAAACGCTTGATTGTGAGCAGAGCTGGGACTGCTGAGTATTAGAGCACATACCATCTGTACAAGGGACAGAGAACTATGTGACAAAGAGCATGCATAGGATAATATCAAAATACTGAGATTAAAAACAACGGTTCTCTTGGAGGCAGAGTAAAAACTTGGGTTTACATTCATACATGCAGTAAGAGTCAGATATGCTATTTTCTTACTGTACAGCCCTTTAACTTGCTTAACTTTAGAGAAAGAATAAAGACTCAAATCTTCTCTTTTTTGATTAGCTTTTACTTTAACTTCAGGAAGAGAATCAAGATCTAAACTCTAGTCTTGCCACTTATTGGGTGATGTAGGTCGGGTTTTCTCCCTCATTTGGTCCTGTGGCTTCCTGTCTAAATGTTAATTGGAGTTACCTGCTAAAAGGCAAATTATTGGGACACCAACCCTGGAGTTGCTAAATCCGAGTCTGGGGATTGGGGAATTGCAGGTCGAGGCCCAGGAATGTGCATTTTAAGATGCTTTTGGGTGATGTAATGAGTTAGAATAGCAGCTATTCAGGAACAAGAACCTGTTACTGCTCAGCTTTGTATAAACTGCCTGGGCTGTGGCACAGAGTTCAATATACACTGTATAAATGAAAAGCTCCAGCTATAAACATGTACAACCACTTATAGAGTAACCTTACTTTTGTAGGGTATTTTACAAGCTTTCATGTACTGTTCCCAGTAGATCATACCTTAATTCCTAGTTCAGCTAAAGAATTATTTACTCTATCTCCCACTATTTTATATCCTTAGTTTTAAAATCGTAATTCCATAAATTTGTTTTTACAGTGCTTTCTTTTATTCTCCTCTCTGCTTTATCCAATCATGTCTTTGGTCCGTTTCGCCCCGAGGGTAGCGATTTTGAACACTTTTCATCTCATGGTACACATAAACTAATAAAATTCTGCAACACACCACAAGATACATTGTTGCCAATCTGACTAAAAAGGTGTAATTTATAGGTATGATTATTCATTCACACCAGATGGTTACTGTGTTAGCAGTTGTCATTTCTTTATTGGACAATTTTAGGGAGAAGAGGTCAGTGCCCCTGACTAAATAGTCAGTTATTGCACCTTAAATATTCTTGCAGCGCAGTTGAACATTGCTGCCCTCGGGCACAGAGATCGAAAACTAAGAAGGTGGGACTTCTCTAATACAAATAAGTAATCAGTGACTGGGTTTTTTTCCCTACACAGCTAACCATTCAAACTGTAGGAATTGATTTTTACAGATGCAGTACTACGTTTGAACATGCTCAGTTAGGTTTACATGTATTTGTTGTTAAGCAGAATGGCTCGCACTTTGGAACCACTGGCAAAGAAGATCTTTAAAGGAGTTTTAGTGGCTGAACTTTTGGGAGTTTTTGGAGCCTATGCTTTATTTAAAAAGATGGACACAAGCCAAGGTAATCATAGATCAGAAGTTATTTTGTGGGGGGTATGCAGTTTGCTGATGCATTTTTAGTGCTTAACATTTTTAGAGAAACTTTCAGATTCAGTATTAGACATCTTTATGGCCAAAAGAGGGAGTTAGGTATTATTGTAAAATTATTAATTTCCTCCTTAAAAATTAATGTTTGTAGACCAAAGATTTCACACTTCCCTCAAGTCTTACTAGTGGGGGGGGCGAAGAGTGGTGTCTTTAGTATGGCTTCTTTTGGGAGCACAGATGGAGCAAAAATGCACTTCGTTTGGCAGACCGAGTATAGTTGAATCGTCAAAATCATGTTTCCTAGGTTCACCGAGTTCTGTCTGCATCAGTACTGGGCACCAAAAACCCCCTCCATGACACATTGGCCATCATTGAAAGTGCTCTGACATTTTGTGGGGCTAAATTTTATATGAGCTCAAACATTTTTAATTAGGAAGCGCTACTTTCTCTCACCGAAGCAGTCCTGAGCGGTGGCCAAGTCTGAACGGTGTTTTATTTCTTGAAAGTACTTCACTGGACACTGTTCCATGATAACATTGGATATTTACAAAGTCTCCACACTTTTAAACTGTGTAAGTAAGGATATAAAGGAAAACATCCAAAACAGTACTTAAAAGCAAGTTAAAGTTTAAAATCAACTTAAAAAACTGGGAAGTCTTATTTCTAAATCCAAAACAAGTTAAAGTTGCATCCATAAAAATAATTCAGTTACATAAGGGTATTGCACATTAAAAAATTGCTTTTAAGTATTTCTAAATAACTTACATTGAATATACAGGCTAAAGTTACAAAATAACTACAGATGACTATATGTAAGGCAAGTACAATTAAGACCCAAAAGGATATAGTTCCTGGATTAAGAGAAGGACCTTAAGAAAAATTTCTAATCTGTGGAATTCCTATTTTATAGACCTATTTTTATGCGTTAATACCATGAATTTCTAATCCTGTCTAATTAAAACAATTTTTTCATCAGATTTCAGGCAAACAATGAGCAAGAAATTTCCCTCCATCTTAGAAGGTATGTTCCAGGGAACTTATTGATCCTATAGGTATTTATCTAAACTAAGTAATTATTTTCTTTATGATCAGTTAAGAGCTAAATGACTTTATTGTGTGATGTCAGTTTCCAAAAGGAGAAAGATACTCTTCATACCTGTTTTAGCTCCTTCTGAGAACACAGAGTAAGTTCTCACCAAGGGTAACTGAAATGAGAGCAGTGAGCTCATGGGCTGGATATTTGAGGTGGTGATGGAATCAAACCACAGCCTAACACTATGTAATCAGCACAGTATTTGCCTAATAAATACTGTTCATTATAGTGATGTAGGTGCTTCTACATGAAATATGTAGCAAGAAAGCAAATAAGCTTGATGTTTCTCAATATTGTTTAATTTTAACATTTTTACATAATTTTATAACTGACAAGTTTTTATTTATAGTTTACTACAAATCCATTGAATATTCTGGAATGTATGGAATCAGACAGCAAGATCAAGAAAAATGGCTGAACAACAAAAGTTAGGAGTAAGTAGAATTTTGTAATTTATTTGGAAAACACTCATTTTCTTTGCTTTTTAATTTTTTGAGTAGTTTTCGGTCTCCTCTTTTTGAAATTCTTCTTTTTCTTGATGATACTTTTCACATCTCTGTTGTGTAGCCAGTCATCACGTTCAGCCTCCCATCTAAGCTGTTTGACACCTGTGGGGGGGTGGGAGGAGAAAGATGAACACACCACACTGTAGACTCTCGGGAGGCCCCACGGAACAACCTACTGAGTAACAGGAACTTCTGGTCTGCCGGGGCCTACAGCTGTTTCCCACCCACTATGCGAATCCCCTGCTCATCGTCATTTTCCTTCTGTATTTAATATCAAAGATGACCATTTTATAAGTAAAAGACTAGGACAGGAAAGGAACAAATGCTCTGAAGATTTTATTTGCTCTAAACACTTTTACTAGAAAAGAACCAAAGCCAGTAACTATCAATGGTGGAAAAAATTAAAATGTCTATGAAGCATTTTTAAGGTCACTTAGCCAACTCATACTATATAATCTTCAGAAGTTCTAAGTATGGCTATTAAAAAGCTTCAACAAAAAATTCAAGCTACTTACTTGCATTGTCTTTGTTAGCCATGGCATTCATGCCAATGTAATCGAACTTGGATCCCATATTTTCATCCAACAGGTGGCCAAACTTAAAAAGGCAGGGGGGAGAAGATACACTTACTAGAAAACCTAAAACAATGTTGAAATAGGTAACTTCTTAAAATAGTATATTAGTCTTACCTCTTCAGCAGATACAAATAGGTTGGAGTCACTGAGATTTCTTTTCTTTTTTTTCCTGGGTCCTAAAAAGTATAAGCCAAGATTGTTAAATTGTAAATCCAATGATTTTTGAAAAATATAAACCTTTCAATACGGTTTTGTTAGAAAAATTATATTTGGGCTAAAATATACACTAGGTAGCTGGCACTTAAAAGGTAGAAATACATTTAAGAGTTAGTATACACTATCTTTTAAAAAGGTAGTGTTGTAATAGAACTGTTCATATGACTTTTATGTCTTCTTGCCTTTCAGGTTTGGCCACCGATCAAAGTTTACCCTATTTCATAGTATCAGGCAAGATTAAAATTCCAGAACTGACATGATGGATTTTGGAATATTTAAGGCAAAATGTAAATTCTAATTAAGCCAGAGGTTTTATTCTTTGGACTATTAAATACTGAAGGTATGTTTATTACATTATAAATAAAGTTTTGTTTATATCACTCAAAGTGGTTTTCCTTTAAACATACCTCACCTATCATTCTGAATATATAAACTTTTCCTAAATAGATGAAATAGTAAAACATCTGGTTTTAATACTTACTAAATTCTAATTCATACATTTAAAATCCACCTATCTAAAAATACATTAACTAAACGTTTTTTACCCATTTCCTGAAACAGTATTATGCAAACTCTTTGCATCTTTGATACCAATGTCTCTAGCACTACTGGAATCACCTTTATTTACTTCTATATTTTTTAAAGATCTTATTTATTTTTAGAGAGAGGGGAAGGGAGGGAAAAGGAGAGAAACATCAATGTGTGGTTGCCTCTAGCATACCCTCTACCGGGGACCTGGCCTGCAACCCCAGACAAGCCCTGACTAGGAAATGAACCGGTAACCTTTTGGTTCACAGGCCGGCACACAATCCACTGAACCACACCAGCCGGAGCCTGGAAATCACTTAAACAAAAAACCCCAGCTGTATTTAGGAATAAAATTTGCCATAAAATCCAGCTGTTTAAGTGTATAATCCAGTATGTTTCAGTAAATTTAGAGTTGTTCAGCTACAATTTTAGAGTATTTCCCTCAACTCCAAAAGATCTGTAATTCCCATTTGTAGCCACATGACCACACCCACGAAGGCTTTGCTTTTTTAAGTGGAATCACAGTGGTTTTCCGTATCTGGCTTCTTTCGCTATATGTAACAGTTCTCAGGCTCACCCACATGACAGCATTATCAGCATGTCTCTCCATTGTATTGCTGTGTAATGTCCCACTATGCAGGTAGACCATACTTTATTATCCAAGCATCAGTCAGTGGACTTTTGGGCTGTTCCCACTTTTTGGCTATTCTGAATAATGCTCTTATTAACAATTGTGTACAAGTCTTTGCATGAATATACCAGAGCCACTTTTAATAAAATCATTTCTAGAGCATTTCATCTCAATTTTTACCAAGGTGAAATGCATGTTATATTACTGAAGGACTGTACATGATGCTATCACTGAATGCTTTAGTTTAAGCTAAAATGCTCATTGGTATAGGATTAGAAAAGGGCTTTTTTTGGTTTTCATTCATCTTATAGGTATACACCTATAACTTCCATTAGTAAACACTTCTGCTGTACTGCCTTCTTAAAGACAGTTTCCTTTCTTTATGCAGCATTTGTCAATGTAAGGGAAACCCTTCAGGATCAGTGAAGTCTGTGTGAAATTCCTTTACTCCTTTGTTTTAACCAATTCTGTCATGTACACCTGAATTTGCATCCAAAACTATTATTGATTGAGATGTGAGATTCTTTCAGACTACCGTCTTCTGAAATAGTACTTTATTAAAAATAAGGTTGTTGAGAGAGAATTTTTTAATATGGCAGGCTCAGCAGGACTGGTGATAAAGCAACATTTCTAAGATGATTTTGAGGAAAACTTTGCCTTATATTTGAGCATATGACACTATTAAAGTGACATTACTCAATCAAAAAAAATCTGGAATGTATGTTACAATTTAAATATGTATCAGGTAAATCAATCTAAATAATGGAACTATTTGTTAGCAGTGTTTTATCAGCTTTTGGACCTGATAAAAATTTTGTAAGCATAAAAATCTCTTGAGAGACTACTACCAATATATAGCTTTTATTTTTATATATATTGTCAAATATTTAATGTCAAGTTTTTTAGTATTATTTAATTTTAATCAAGTATTGTTAAGTGTTTTAATTATTTTTAACTTTGCAAGTCTATTTTTATTCATCAACATTTACTAGTAAGCAGAATCCAAAGAGGCAAAGCATGAAAAAAACCTGCAAGCCTGCATATTTGTCCACAGGGTTATGGGATGAAGCATTTATTGTAGTGCTGTCTGTATTTTCATCAACAACTTATAGTTGTCACAAAGTGTTACATTAATATGGATAATCTGTTATGATATACTTTAAACAACGTTAGAGAACAAATTGACAGAGAGAATTCCTACGTGTTTTATGTAAGATATTTCTGAGATTAGAACTGCTTTGTCATGGCAACAAGATGACAGATCTCACAAAAAAAGAAAATGAAGTTAATGAAGAGCATGGATTTTCAGAAGGGTCAGGTGACAAAGAAAAAGAATTGGTTGAGAAAAGGCAAAAGGTGTTTATGGAAAATGTAGGGCTTAAATATAATTCAGTGATTTAAACATGAATGAATAAAATCATCTAAAGATATCCAGATGTGTGAATTTAGGAAGAGAAAATTGTTGAAGATATATGGGAAATAATTTTTACATATTAAAACATAAAACTTATTTTCCATTGTAAAAATAAACTAAATTGTACCCACCAATGATTTAGAAAAATTTCCAAAATAATAATGAGTAATATCTTTCATATATACACTGCTTATGTTTCAAAAAGAGTAAATGCACTTTCTTACCTTGAAATGATCCAGCAAAGTCAAAATCATTTGCGCCTTTCCTCTTGCTTTTCTTAGAATTGACTTTGGAGCTGACTTCATCATCAAGTTCTGTTACCAAAAAAAGTGCTATTAAGTAATTTAAAAACAGGACCACTCTAGGGTTAGGATGATGAATACCAACTTTTAGAAACTGCTAATTACTATTCTAATAATATTAAAAAAGCAACATAATGGCTCAACAGGTATCACACATATAGTCTAATTGTTGATTAAAATAAAAGTTCAAAACTCAGCACTCAACTGCTTTAAAAAACACCTTTCAGTTTCAAATGTGAGGGAGAAAAGGTCCTCTTTAAATGTCTGGCCTGAGTATTAATCTGAATACAGAGTAATATTAAAAAATATTCAACAGAAAAACAAGCCTATGCTGAAGAAGGAAGATATAGTTTGTTTCAGTCTTGCATTTAAAAAGAAGCCTCGCCAACCCCGAATGCCCTCACCCTCATCATCCAGCACATCCATGAATGTCCCTCCATCTTCATCCATTTCAGCAAATTCTTCATTCATACTTCCTAAAGAAACCTCATCATCATCCAAGTTATCAAGGTCATCGTCACTCTCTTCTGAATCTTCATCTTCTGGCTCACTTTTAGCTCCTTTTTTTTTCTTTTTCACATTGCTGAAGAAAAACAACTTGTAATGTAAAAGAGGAAGCTGTTTTTTAAAATGGGGTTTGATGACTACCAGGGTATGAGGCTACACACAGCTTTAAAAGAGTCACAGGAAGCTCAGAGCCTTTATTTAATATGCATTATAAAAGTCCCAAATGGAAGTACACGATCTATTTCCCGAGCTTATTCAAGAGGGACAATTTGGGAAATGCTGAGGAAACAGTGGAAAAAAAAAACATACGGAAGAAATGTATTTTACCCAGCAAAATCAAGATCATCCTTTCCAGGGGTGAAACAATTATCCTCTTCAAATGTATCTGCCAGAGAGCAATATACAAATTGGTAAGATATGGCAAAGAATAACGAAGTTGACATGTCTTCTAAATCAATTAACAGTCAAGATTCTTCTGTTCATGACAAACACCAAAATAAACCTAAGACTATACTGACCTTAATTAAATTCCTAAACTAAAATGGTTCCAGTTAATTTCAGGTTCTATCTACAGTTCTTTTATAGCAAGAGGGTAAATATCAAATAAAATATTTAGCAACTGCAGTCCTTTTTACTTTATTAGAGCTATTGAAGTGGACTTAATGTAAGTCTTTCTAATTTCCCATGTTTTTTGTTTCAGTCTAAATTTTAATCTAGCTCTATGCAGTATAAAGATAAAATAGTAGACTATTGCTACCAATAACGGAAGATTAGGAACATCAAACTGTCTCTCTTTTATAAAAGATTTGGCCTTAAGAATAAATATATTCATGCAAATAAAATTTTTTCTCCATGAATTGTCATGTGAATTATCATTATCCCACCAAAATATTTTTTAATTCTCCATTGTGATTTGCATGGTATTCTTAGTTAAGTGATTTTTTAAAACTAAGGTCGCTTCTACCACTAACGTAATAAATTATTTTGCACATTGAAGAGTCAACAAATTACCAATCATCTTTTCAAATTCCTCATCATCCACATCTTCTATACTTTCTTCGTCTGCATTCCGTTTTTGTTTCTCTTTAATGACAGCGATTTTTTTATAGTACCTAAAATAAAATTCATGTCACATATTTGATAATTTTACTAACTTTATTTATAGCCAAAGCACCTATGACCATTCACCAAAACAACTGTAAATGCTGTTAACTCTGTTGGATATAATTGACTAAAATTTGTATTTATTGTAGAAAAAAGTTGAATTCTACAAAAACAGTTGGAGACTTCTAAAATGTCAAGTATAAATTTTAAATATTCAGGTTTGGTTCCTCATAAAAACACCTCAACTCACCTTAATTAAACAGCACGTGTAAAAGGTTGTTTCAGGGTCAACAGTAATGATGAAGTATTAGAATATCACAAAATGTGCTGACTTCTATTCACAATATTGTATCAGACCTATTGTCATATTAGGATACAATAAAACTTGGCACTTTGCAGATGGGATCATGCCCTTAAAATTCTTCACGCAAAAAGCATCAATAGAGCAAATCAAATCAAACCAAAGTAACAGATGAGATACCAGTTCCTGTACGACTGTGAGGCATTTAGTAATAATAACAGGAGGTTCAGGACTTATCTCTATAGCAACAGTGAATCTTCCTAACTCTGCTTAGAGTCACATTTTGGACTAATTACTCATGATTTGTCTCTCATTATGTTAGAGTAATACAGATTTAAAGCCTCTTAGAAAATTACTGTATTAAAAAAAGGAAATTAAGATTAAGTTCCCTAAAGTCAAGATTCATAAAAACAAAAAATTACGCTAATTAAAAACAAAACCCCCAAATTTACTTGATTCAGTTCCACTTAGATAATCTTAGTATCAGCAAAATGACTGATTTACAAATTATCTTCACAAAAATGGATACTGGTATGTCCTTTGATCTTTTCAAGGTTGGCCTATGTTAACAGCATTTTAAGGATAATAAATTT